GCTTTAAGATATGTGGACTTCAAGCTATGCTGGCTAGGGAATTCTAGGAGTTGAAGTCCAAACATCTTAAAGCCACCAACATTGAGAAACACTGCTTTCTATTGAATATTTTATTGGCTAAGTGTAAGATACAATAATAAGATACAATCATAAATCATAAGATACAAACAAGAAGTGATAAATCATTAGATACTAATAGGAGGAGTAGGAAAGATGAGAAAGATAAGAAGATGAGACAGGTAACAGCAATATACCCCTACTATTATTTTCCAAAGCACCTGAAGGCAGGACAAGAAGCAACGGGTGGAAACTAATCAAGGCGAGAAGCAACCTAGAACTAAGGAGAAACTTCCTGACAGTGAGAACAATTAATCAGTGGAACAGCTTGCCTCCAGAAGCTATGAATGCTCCAACACTGGAAGTTTTTAAGAAGAGACTGGACAGCCATTTGTCCGAAATGGTGTAGGGTTTCCTGCCCGAGCAGGGGGTTGGACTAGATGACCTCCAAGGTCCCTTCCAACTTTACTATTATTATTATTATTATTATTATTATTATTATTATTATTATTATTATTATTATACACGGGTAAATATCTTTAGGCATAAGGCAGTGCTGTAAGAATTAGGTGTTTAGCAGAGTTATAGTATGGGAGAAAAAAAAACCTGTCTTTGTGTCTACATAGTTGTTTTGGCACGCAGTGCCCTATAGCAGAGTCCTGAAGGGAGAAGTTGAAACAGTTTATGTCCAGGATGTGAGGGATCTGTAGATATTTTCTCAATGAAAGGCAAGCTGGTTACAATTGCTTTTTCTGCAGTCCCAAATATCCATTAAAATTTGTACCTGTCCTGTTTGGTTGCTGTGCTAAAACAGGCAGTTCTAGAAATAGAAATGACAGAGCCAGTAATTCCTCTGTAGAACTGTTATCAGCAGCTCCTTGGTCCTTTAAGGGATCTGAAATCTGTTCCACTCTGTTTCCTGCCAGAATCCAGACATACAGGTTGAAAACTGTGGGCAGTTGAGATAAGCAATCTCCTTCAAGTTGATTGTGGGCTATCAAGTCAGTGTTGACTCTTAGCAACCACAAAGAGGTTTTTAAGAAGAGATGGATAACCATTTGTCTGAAATGGTATAGGGCAGGGGTCCACGAAACCCCCCTGCTTCGTGGACTACTGGTCTCTGGCATTGCCAGCAACTGGTCTGCAAAACCACACCCCCTTCTGGTCCACAAAAAAACCTTTCTCCATGGAACTTGTCCCTGATGCCCCAAAAGTTGGAGGGCCGCTGGTATAGGCTTTCCTTCTTGAGCAGGGGGTTGGACTAGAAGACCCTCCAAGTCCCTTCCAATACTGTTATTCTCTTACTCCTAACCTAGTCCTTCAGATTTTCCAAAGGTGCCCCTACCACCATTTCTTATTACTGCCAGCCCTCCCTCTCCTTCCTTCTGCCTTTCCCAGTATTAAGAGTCTTTTCAGAGAGCTGGGTCATCAGCTATAATGAGAAGCAGATTTCACAGGAAAAACAGGGAGAGAGAAACCTTTTATAAAACTATGAAGTTGACAAGCAAAAATGCGAAGTTCTGCCACAATCTTCAGTTGGGAAAACCTCTGCCACAATCTTCAGTTGGGAAAGAAAACATTAAAAGAAAACAGGCAGAGCTCTGCTCACAAACAAAAGACTCAAATTATCATGGGTTGTGCTAAATTAATTTGGGGAGTATTTTGCACCTGCCAAAGACTTAAGTTGCGATAAAACAGCCTTTCTTCTCTCTGCTAAATGTAAAACAGACAGGTTGAACTTGTTGAGTTGCCAAGTAAGCTGGCACTATACCCCCAAATGAAGGGGATTTAAATTAATTGTAAGTGCTATTGTTCTGTAAGCACAATTTAAATCAGCATTTCCCCAATGGGATAGCACTGCCTCCTGTGGGCCAATTTTGTAGTTTAAGAGAACAGTAGAAACTAAGAAGAGATTAAGAAACGTCTTTTGCCACATTACACAGATCTTCCAATCTCCTTCTTTGCAACTAAAAAAGCGAAATAGGAAAGAGCAGCATGGTGGCCTAGTGGTGAACACGCTCATCTTCCACAGGATAAGAAAAGGGGTGAAAATGGATAGGATTTCTTATAAGCAATTGACTAAGTGGGAAGGGAATAAGTGGCAATTAAAATCAATGGAGGATTTATCGCAAGAAAACATTATTTATTCTTGGTTTCAGTATAGGCAGTTATTAGAAAGATGGAGTATAGATCAAAAAATGGGTTTCATTGCGGAAGATGCCAATTTGGTGAAACAAATTAGAGATCAAAATCGAGCCCATATAAAAAGAATTTATAATGCTTTGGTGGAATTGGATTCAGAAACAGAATTAGTTAAGGATTGTATGGTTAAGTGGGCTCAAAATTTTGAAGAGCCGATTCTATTAGATACATGGGAGATAATCTGGGTTAGGAATGTTAAATTTACCCAAGCTCAAAATTTACGAGAAAATTTTTATAAAATGTTTTACAGATGGCACCTTGATCCACAAAAGATGTCTCGTATGTATTCTAATTTACAGCCCAAATGTTGGAGATGTGGTTGTATGGATGCAACCTATTATCGTATTTGGTGGTCTTGTAGAAATATAAAGGCTTTTTGGATTAAGATTTGGTGGAATATTCAAAAAATTTTTAATAGAAGGATTAAAATTTACACCACAACTATTTTTGTTAGGTATTATTGAATATTGTGATAGTAAAGAGATTATTTTAATGTTGAATTTTATTACGGCAGAAAGGTTATTGATTGGGCAATATTGGAGAAAAGACTCCTTGCCTACTTTAGAGGAATGGTTTTTTAAAGTTTCTTATTTATCAGAAATGGCAAAAATATCGGCTTATCTGAAAGACCATTCACAAGAGAGATACAACTCTGTATGGAAAAGATGGGTAAATTTTGTTCAGAACAAATATGGGTTTAGAAAGTATTATTTAGCTTTTGAATAACTTATTGTATAAAGTTGTTATGGTTGTTGTTGTTAATTGTGAAGTCGTGTCCGACCCATCACAACCCCATGGACAACGTTCCTCCAGGTCTTCCTGTCCTCTACCATATTCTGGAGTCCATTTAAATTCACACCTACTGCTTCAGTGACTCCATCCAGCCATCTCATTCTCTGTCGTCCCCTTCTTCTATTGCCCTCAATCTTTCCCAGCATTAGGCTCTTCTCCAGTGAGTCCTTCCTTCTCATTAGGTGGCCAAAGTACTTGAGTTTCAACTTCAGGATCTGGCCTTCTAAAGAGCAGTTGTTATGGTTAGATTTGTCGATTTTATTGTAATGGAGTTAAAGGGGTTTTAAATTATTTTTAGGATTTATGTATAATTGATTGATCTTTATTTAATTTTTTATGTTCTTTTTTTGTTGTTTTTAGCTCTGTACTCAGGTAAGGGGGGGAGGGCTAATGGGAGGGGGGAGGGAGAGAGGTGGGGAGGGATTTTATTGTAAAATGTTTATAAAAATTTTAATAATAATAATAAAAAAGAAATGTCTTTTGCCACATTACACAGATCTTCCAATCTCCTTTGCAACTAAAAAAGCGAAATAGGAAAGAGCAGCATGGTGGCCTAGTGGTGAACACGCTCATCTTCCACACAGAAGGTTGACAGTTCAATCGTAGGTGGTGGCAGATGTTTCTCTCCTAGGGTGAAGAGAGAAAATATCTCTGTGAACTCCACGTAGGCATCAGGAAGGGCATCCAGCCACTAAACACTTAGTTCCATCCAGTAGCCCAGACTCTATCCCAAATTAAGGAATTACAGGGTCGAAAAAAGAGTTAAAGTAGGAAAGCATTCAGTTTATAAATCAGGACTTGTAAATAAATTCATTAAAGTTGTAGCGATGACTGCAAGTATAACATGTTCCTGAAGTACTGAACACTTATAATTGTGCTAAACCAGGAAGTGAGATTTGAGTAATGGTATGTTATTTATCTATTGATGGATATTTGTCTGTGATATATTTTTTATATATTAGTTCAGACTAGAGTTGGCATTTTTATCCTCCTGCTAAGTCCTTCCTAAGAACTGGGAGAGGCAGAAGTGGATGTTTGATGGTATTAGAGGTGTCACCGCAGGATGCAAGCTGTTCCAAGTAAAGCTGTCTTTTGCAATTGACTGGTGGTAAATTTTTCAATGCCAACAAATTCAAGAGGTGTGCCAGTTGTTTTGGGATTCCACTGCAGCTGTCATAAATACATGTCAATTGCCAAGTGCTCAACTGGCATGTATATATATGACCATGTATTAGATCATGTGACCATGGGATGCTGCAATGGTTGTTAGTGTGAAAACCGGGGATTAAGTCTTTTTTTCTACTGCTGTTGTAACTTCAGTCATTAAATGAATGGTTGTAAGTGTAGGTTGTGTCTTTTGCTACTGGCAGTATTTTGGTAACTTATATACAAACTACTTATTCAATTATATTATTTATGAATTAGGTCCCTCCCCGCAAGAATTAGAATACTCTAGTGTTGTAGTCCATGAATTTGTTATGCATTTTATATTTCTATTTTTTATTATGTATTTATATGTAAATGCCTAAAATATATTTATCTCAGGCATCTGAATCCAGTTAGATAAAGTCCCCTTTTAATTGTCTAATTATCTAATGTACTCATAATTTTATATTATATACATTGGCTTCTGATTTTTAACTAAGATTAGCAATTCTATTCACACAAAAAAAATGTTCTATTTTCATTTAAAACCAAACAAAGGAATTTTGAAAAACAATGAAACTCTGTGTCATAAGGCATCATTATGAATACAGCACTTTTTATAAAAGGTCTTTTAAGATGGCAAATACTATCTGCAGTTTCCAAAAATGTTGAAATAGGCTATCTAATGGACAACTTCTTAATCTGAAGAATATTTCAATCCTAACACTTTTTTTTCCAAAAGACTGAAGAGAGTATTTCACCTGACATTACATAAACACAGCTTCTACTTCCAGTAGCCAAGCTTCATTTATTTTTAAAGAAAAAAAAAAACCCTGAATGAATTAACACACCACATTACAATGCAAACAATCTACAACATGATGCAGAACAAGAATAGTAGAGTTAATTCTCCACAACACCCATCCCTTGACCCATGTTATAAGCTCCCTTGGGAATAATGTAAACATTTACAAAAATTTCAGAGTTATAAGTACATTATATTAAGTCAATGGCAGACATGATACATTGGCAAGCGATTCAGTTCTCAAAAGGTTGCGCTGAAGCACAGCGTGATTTGAGGAGGAGAGCTAAGATGTCAAAACAGAAACTGCAGCAGGAGATCATGGTTGGCGGGCTTCCTGGGATGGGCAGAGCCATGGCACAGAAACGAGGTGGTCCCGTGAGATACCCTCACTCAAATGTTTGCCAAGACCCTTGGCCACAGTTTTCTGCTTGAATAATTTGATTTTGCAGATCTCATCTAGGACATTTTCTTCTCTGGTATTAGAATTCCCGTTAAGTAGCCAGAGAACAGCTGGCCTTCACTACAAACCCACTCCCCCTTCTGCAAAATAGCCCAACAGGAGCAACATTTGCTGCTGCTGCTGCTGTTTAATTGGCCTTAATGGAGAACATGAGGGGTCTTTGCTGACTGAGACTCCTGCAGAAAAAACAGAACCCCTTCGCAATTTGGCAAGAAGTCTGGTCGCCCCGCTTTTGAGAAAACGCCCATCAATCTGGGAGTCCAGCAAGAGGCTTTTAAGGCAGCCTTGTACCCAGGAATGGCCTACCTGGGTATCCTGAGTTTCAAGAACCAGCCAGCTCATTTCTCTTCCCAGCAGCCAAACTGGGAAGTCCAAAAGTACACGGTGAAAAAGCAACTGGTGGCACTGAGGAAATATTTAGCAGGGGGTTCCTCTGAGGAAATGGAGATGGGGCACGCCTATTACAGGGACCCTGCAGGGTAGCTAGTAAGTAGGCAGCACTCCCCCCCCCGCTATTTTTTTTTAAAGCAATTAAGGCAAAGGCAGAGGAAGTAAAGCTCATGCAATGCAATGTCGTGATGTCAGCAAGGCAATTTTAAAGCAGTGGCTCGCTAGCACTTTGGAACAAGTGTAATGCATTTTAAAATGGCAGATAACGTTTTTTTTTCAAAGCCCACATTTGGAATGTATCAAGAAATCTCCCAAGGAGAGAGAGAGAGAGTCTCACTTTTCACAAAGCTATTCCCAAAGAAAGACCAGTAGAGGTTTTTGGCCTCCAGCATTAACAGTTTTCATTTCTTTTGGCTCATTTTTAAAAATCATCCTTGATGGGGAGAATTTGGCCCTTGTATTTACAAAACAGGCAGTCTTCCAGCGAACCAAGAGGTAATCCTTTGGGGGGGTCACTACATATACAAAAAAGACTGGGATTTGGGAGGAGAGAAACAGACCAGAGTAGGTAAAATCAGATAAGGCACATATTACAACCCACTTTGCTGTCCTATCCTTATTCTTCATTCTACCTGGAGGCGTTTTTCACATTTTCTGATAAACCCACAACAACATTTCCCAAAATGTAGTGTATTTTCCAAAGGGAGTAAAAAACAGGGCAAGCCTACTCCTTGAAAATAAAAGTGACAGCTTGAAATGGCAACTAATTGCTGGATGAGGAGTACGGTCCAGATGATTTAACTGACAGACATCCCTAAGACTGTGCTCAAGATTTGGGAGTATAAGTATTTTGAGGCAGCTTGGCCCCATCTGGCCGCTTCCAGATATATGGGGAGTGCAAGCCATGAAATCCCTCACCAGCATAGCTGGGCATTGCTGCCCCAGTGTGTTGGATCAGACTGGACAAGACTGCCCGAGGTAGCACAGTAATCGGTACCTTCCAAAAAGCATCCTTGGGTAAGGAACTGGCTCAAATCCAGGGGAGGATTTTACATCCCAGGATGCCAGAAGTAGACTCATACAGGTGAGAGGGTGAGAAGAGCACTGACTGAACAGGGTGCCCCAAAGCCAAGAGACCCAAGATCATTGGAAAGCTGTGGAAGAAATAGATGAGAACTGCTGAAACGTCAAACTGGCCCAGCCAAAGCAATGTTTCTCAACCGTGGCAGCTTTAAGAGGTGTGGACTTCAACTCCCAGAATTCCCCAGCCAGCCACACTTCAATTCTAGGAGTTGAAGTCTACACCTCTTAAAGTTGCCAATGTTGAGAAAGACTGATTGCACTCAATGGCTATTAGACACCCCCCCAAAAATCTGAGGAAAGAAATACTTGTAGATGCAACCTAACTGTGAGTCTCGACACTTTGCAGATCCTCATCCATGTGTTTATGGGGTAAAGTGGGATATCTGAACAGAACGTGATCTACCAGAACCAGCAATGAAAAGAGTTCTGTGGTTCAATTGTGGGAATACTTCTTTCTAAGAGGGACAGGCTTGGACCAGATCATGCGCATCTTCAAAATTTCTGTTTTAACAAGCAGGTTAATAGCCAGCAAGGCCAAAGGGAGACAACAGAAAGCAACACACTCTAAACAAAACAAATAAGCAAAATGAAGACCTATCAACAGGTCAAAACTTCCAGAAAATGGGTCCTATTTTAGGAGAGCAGGGGCAATATTTGAACTCATCCCCCTTAATTAATACAGTTTTCCAGTAGGAAAGCTAGCAGTTCAGTGAGAAGATTAGGGCAGACCATTAATCATGCTGCTAACTTTCTATTTCCAGGAATTATCTTCCTGGGGGAAGGATTCAGTTACAAAACTCCTACTCTGGCAGCAGCAAACATCAAAAAATAGTTGTTGTCATGAACAAGCTGCTCTTTGTGCCTATCTCACTATCACACATTTCCTTTCACAACAATCTCTAGAGCTGCAGAATCCCCCAAAGATACGGGGAGGCAGCCTTAGCACAAAGCAAGCTCAAAAACAGGGAAAGGGTGAGAGAAGTTTAAGTCTCTTCCCCGAAATCTTCAGGGGAGCCTGGTGGTGAATGGCTGCTCTTTCAAAATGAGGCAGTCACCAGAAATGACAGTTTTATCCCGTTCCTTGTGCATCCATTGGCAAGAATGATATAGGTGAGTGTCAATAAAGGTAGGCCTAGTCAAATTTTATGGGCAACAGCCGTGCCTTGGCACAGGCTGTTGCCATCGTGAAAGGAGAACCATACATAAAACCATGGTTAGCGGAAAAAAGAGCACCACCCCTCAAAGGAAAAAGAGAAAGAGAGAAAAGAGAGAGCCTCAAATGAGGAACCCAATGTGTTTCTTGCAACAACTCAAACCAAACTACTTGGGTAACCCAACCAATGAGGATCAGGACCAGGGATTTCCATAATTGGGAACTGTTGGATATTCAGGGAGGCTGTTTCCTGAAAAGTTGCTGTGCTGGGCTTCCCTGCTTGGAGGATCTTTCCACGATCCACTCTGCCATTCGTTCTGGGCTTTCTGAAAGCTTCCACCTCCACTACGGTAGATCCGGTGAACCTGATTGGAAAGAGAAAGAAAGAAAGTAGGAATGAAGCTTCTATCTGTTGGAGGTCTGCTTTGCACTTCTGTCCAAAGCACTGACTTTCTTTCCTTTAACTTGGTTTAGAAAAAAGGAGTAATCAGAGGGGAGGATGCAGGGATGATGTTTAGTCTGAGATACGGGGATTAAGATCTCAGAGTGATTTTTTTAAGAGTTGATATGGGATTAAAAAGTATTATTTAGATTATGAATAATTTTTAGTTTTTAATTTGGAATTGCTTATATTCTTATTTTTGTCTTTTTTAAAAATTTGCTTAAATTTGTTTTGTATTCGAGTTAAAGCACATTATTGATTTTGTTATTTGTATAGTTGGATAAGTTTATTTAGAATTTGCTTGTTTATTTGTAACCCTATAATCAGCTCTGGGAAGTGAGGGGGGGAGGGAGGGAGGGGGTTATTCTAGGGGGGGATATTGTTAAAAACTTGTATAAAACTTTTCAATAATAAAAAAAAAGATCTCAGAGTGATTTTTAAATTGCCCCCTTGTAGTTCCAGGTTGGCTTTCATGCCTAGTGGGTGGGCCTGGAACTCAAAGTCTCCTGGTGATTGGCCCAAAGTCACCCACCAGCTTTCATGCCTAAGGCAGGAGTAGAACTCAGTCTTCTGGTGATTGGCCAAAGTCACCCAGCCAGCTTTTGTGCCTAAGGCAGGACTAGATTTCAGTCTCCTGGCTTTCTAGATGTGCCTTAACCAAAGTTTGATAGGTCACGTGGTTTCTGTGGACATCAAAGCCAGGTTCTCTGCCCCACTCAGTTCCATTGTCTTAACAAAACTGGAAGCTGAAGGATTCAAAGCAAAGTGCCAGCCTTCAGCATAATCATTATTTCTGCTTTGTTTGAAAATAGGCCGCCGACCATAAAGAAAAATAGAAAGACGGGCACGGAAGACAGTGACTTATGTCTTTGTCATCCTTCAGTTAGATCAGGATTTGTCAAAAAGGGTTCTGTGGAACTCCTGTGTTATGTGAAAACCTGATGGGTTCCATGAAAAACTAAGGGAAAAACTAACGTACCAAACAAACAAACAAAAATCACTTGAGCACAGCCAATATTCTGGCTCTAGAATTTTGCTTCCTGGCTGACTGGGGAATGCTGGGAATTGAAGTCCACAGGGCTTAAAGTTGCCAATGTTGGACATCCCTGCCTTAGACGACCCTTGTATGTGGCATTGGAATTCATGCTGGAAGTAGATGCCCCAGAGAGACAGAGGGTGGGTGAAGACCTGGGGAAACGTTCTCAGTGCAGTCTCCTTACTTTGGGTTGGCCTAACCCCTGGAGGTAGCCCCCTATCCTTTATTCTTTAGGTAGCAGTTGAAAACTCTGCCTTCCAGTGGTCTTTCAGGGAGAGAGGTTGATCATAGCCATGGCTTGTTAAAGATTTTTTAAAAGAAGATTTTAACATTTGGATTTTATGTAAATGTTTTATGCATAGTCTTATAAGCCACTAAGAGTTGCTAGAGCAGTGGTTCTCAACCTTTTTATACAGCGACCCCGGTCATAAGGACGCACCGCGCATGTGCGCCGCCGTCCCCATGCGCAGCGCGCATGCGCAGCAGTGCCCCTGAGGGAAAAAATGGCGGATCGCGTTGTTTGGCGACCCCTATAAAATGGTCGTTCGACCCCAAATGGGGTCGTGACCCAAAGGTTGAGAACCGCTGTGCTAGAGTATTACACTTACATTATTGTTAACATTTAGTTTTATATGGCTACCCATCTCACAAAACTATTATGAGCTGTGACACAATACAAATATCAGTATAAGAGAGACAATTTGTGTAGTGGTTGAAGTCACCAGACTAGAAACTAGTGGAATGTGAGTTGGATGACTTTGGGCCAGTCCCTCTTTCCCAGCCCACCTCACAGGGTAGTTGCTGGGTTAAAAATGGATGAGAACTTGAGGCCTGTTGCTGGGTTAAAAACGGATAAGAACTTGAGTTGACTAAAATAAAGGTGGCATAACATCAAATAAATCAATAGCAAATAACAAAAGCATACATAAAATAGCTGGTATGGGATTCACTGTACATATATACAGGATGTACCAAAGGTTAGGCCCCCATGGGCTACCCACAATATGTTTTGTTAATGTTATTAACTAAGGTTCCTTTCAGACAAAAAGTTACTGTACTTAGGAATGTTCAAAAGTATGTCAAATAAATAACAACACTTCTGAAAGAAAATAGCAAGTCATGAAACATTTAATGCAATTAAATAATTACCTTTTAAGACCTGACTTTTCGCCCACTGGTCAGTTGGGGAGGGGGCAGCAGGGGATGAGAGCATTATATGGTGCCCAGATGATAGCCTGTGCTTAATGGAGCCACAGAGTGACTCTCTTTTGCACCCCCACCCCGCCCCGGGAGAGGCACACCATGCACCACAAATTCCAAAAAACCTCTGACTCACCCGGATGAGACTTATAAACATCCCGACAGCGCACAAGGTGAACATAACTGCTGGGAAGAGCATGACCACACCAGCTCCAACACTAGTGCCGATAAAACTTATGGCAGCCACCCAGCCACTAGAAGAGACCAAGAGAAAAGAGGGTTGCAATTTTCAGAAAACATTTTTCTGCTTTATTGAGCCAGGGCATATGGAATCATCAGTCTCATTCCAGTATGTATTGACTTTCCATCCAAATAAAAGCAAAGCAGGGTATTAACTGTAGTTTGGAACAAACTGAAATATTTAAACCAACTTTAAAGGTTGGCAATGATTTGCTTCCGCTCAACCAGGAAACTATAATTGGTTAAAAACTTTCTCCCTGACCTGTAATAAATTAAGATTCAGAAGGAAACTACTGTCAATGTTTTCATGACAAAAAAAAAATCAAAATAAACCCCGTATTATTATTACATATACGACTAGGAAACGGGGAACAGGTAATTTTTACAATAGATCAAAATACAGGGTTTCTCAATGAGCGGTCAGTGATCAGAGTCATGTCCCACGAAGAGTACAGATAGTCCTTGACTTGCAACCATTCATTTAGCGACCATTTGAAATTATAACAGCAATGAAAAAAGTGACTAATGACCAGCCTTTACACCGGGGGCCTTCAAACTTGGCCCTTTTATGACTTGTGGACTTCAACTCCCAGAATTCCTCACCCAGCCAGTCTGGCTGAGGAATTCTGGGAGTTCTAGTCCGCAAGTCATAAAAGGGCCAAGTTTGAAGATCCCTCTGCTTTACACTTACAATAGTCATAGCATCTCCAGTCACATGATCAAAATTTGGGTGCTTGGCAACTGGCATGTGTTTACAATAGTTACAGTGTCCTAGGTGTCATGTGATCCCCATTGGCCACCTTCCAAGCCACCTTCCGACAAGTAACATCAAAAGGGGAAGCTACACTTGCTTAATGAGTGTGTGATTCACTTAACAACTATAGCGATTCACTTTACAACGATGGCAAAAAAGGCTGTAAAATCAGGTGTGACTTCCTTAACAACTACCTTGCTTAGCAACGGAAATTCTGGTCCCAATTGTGGTTGTAAGTTTATTTATTTATTTAGCAGGTGGCATCTACAGAAGTCATGCAACCACTGTTATACAACACTAATAAACCACATTATTCATACAAGCACAAATATAAGTTTAAACAAAACATCAGGAGATAAATTATGTAAAGTGTGTCGACAATACAATAGATGAAATAAAATGTTGGAGTAAAACCATAATAAAATTGCCATAATATGGCACTATGGAATTGCAATAGGATAGATGTTATAATTCAATAGTCTAAGGAAGCTACCCATATAACTGCTTCTGGTGTGGCTATAAAATTTCAGGTGCCTTGAAATTTTCCTGAGAAGACATTTTTGAACTATATGTGGTTGTAAGTCAAGGACTACCTGTTTACAGGTATAAGCCTGGTTTGGCAGTAGCATCTGAAAAGGACCTGGGTGTCCAGGTAGACCACAGCTGAAGCTTGAGCCAGCAATGTGCTGCAGCTGTTAAAAAAAGCCAACAGCTTCTTTGACAGAGACATAATTTTAAGGTTTTGGAAAGTGATCAGTCCACTCTATCCTGCCCTGGTTAGGCCACTCCTGGAATGCGGAGTCCATTTTGGGTCATCAAAATGCAAGGAAGATTCTGAGGAACTGAAAAGAATGCAGAGAACAACGACAAAGATTGCAAGGTGCTTGGAGGCTAAACTCTAGAAATAACATTTAAAGCAGTGGTTCTCAACCTGTGGGTCGGGACCCCATTTGGGGTCGAACGACCATTTCACGGGGGTCGCCAAACAACGCAGTCCGCCATTTTTTCCCCCTTTTCCTTAGCTGTGCTACTCCCTTTTATTCTATTGGCTTTTGAAAGCCAATAGAATAGACTCTCTTGAATAGAGTCTAATTCTATTGGCTTTCAAAGGCCAATAGGAATTGCCCAGGCTGTCTCTGCCCTGCTGAGCCCGCCAAAAGTCCCATTCTGCAAGCGGTGCTGCACCAGTTGAGTAGTCCTCGACTTACGATCGGTTGAGTAGTCCTCGACTTACGACCGGTTGGGGGTCGCGGCATTAAAAAGGTTGAGAACCACTGATTTAAAGGAACCTGAGAATGTATAGCTTAAAGAATTTTTATCTCTTTTACATTGGATGTTTTATTTATTGTTATGCACCATCCCAAGTAACCTTTGGGGGAGATGGATGGCTATATAAATTTGATAAAACATAAATAAGAACCGGCTAAAGAGAGATATGATAGTAGTCTTCAAATATTTCAAGGATAGTCACAGAAACAGGTGTGGATTTATTTCTAGAGTGCCCAAGGCTAGAACCGGAAGTAATGGGTGGAAACTTTACAGAGGGAGATCCAAACTCTTAGGAGTCAAGGATGCACCAACTCTGGAGATTTTCAAACAAAAGGCGGCCAATCATTTGTCTGGGATGCTGTCCTGGGCAGGATTAGAAGATTCTAAAGTTTTGGAAGAAACCCTAGGATTCTATGAGGATACATTTATTTATGCAATTTATTTCTCTGCAATCCATAGGAACCATTAAAACACAATAATATAGTAAGAACAACAATAAATTACAGGTTTCTTAACAGATACATTGAGTAAGAAATACTAATGGATCTATAACTAATCCTCAAAGGTGTCCAGAAAACATGGTTTTTATCAGCTTTCAGAGGACCTAAGCTATTCCACAATAGCTGTACTTTTCTGGGTAGGAGCTGGGCATCCTTAATAAGTGCTCCACAGATGTCTGGGGTAGACAAATAGATACTGTCTAAGAAAGGTGGTTTCTTAGATGTCCAGGCCCTGAACCATATAGGGCTTTAAAAGTAGTGACCAGTATCTTGAACTGCACCCACAATATGTCTGTAGCAGTGCAAGTCCTGCAATTATGTAATGTGGCATTAGAGCAGGTTTGGGCTTAGACGCAGAAACAAAACATTACTTTACATTATTGAGTCTTCCTGATTGATTGATTGATTAAATTTATATAATTGTTGAGAAATATCTTTTGATAGGCTTTAGAAGAACTGCTTCAAACCCATAGAAGATTGTATCAACCCTTTTACAGCTATTTACATTTATAGCAGTATTGTCGACAACTTTACTGTAATCTTCATATCCGTAAAGCTCACCCTATCTGATTAATAACAGAATCCCTGTAAAGTTGTACATTATCCTAGCCCAGGGGTAGGCAACCCAAAACACTCAAGGAGCCACTTGGACCCGTTTCACACCGAAAACAAAACACTGGGAGCCGCAAAACCCTTTGGGTATCTAAAATGAAGATAACACTGCATATATCCTTTTTTACCTTTATTTATTTATTTATTTAATTTTATTTATATGCTGCCGAATCGCAAAGGACTCAGGGCGGCGTACAAAATTAAAACAATCATCTAACAATAAAACAATAAAATAATACAATCATACAGCATGTCCGATCATATCCCCCCCCCCCGGGACATCAGCCCCAGGCCTGCCGGAACAGGAGAGTTTTAACGGCTTTCTTAAAGGCCGGCAGGGTGGGAGTAGTTCGAACCTTGGGGGGAAGTTGATTCCACCAGGTCGGAGCCACCACAGAAAAGGCCCTTCCCCGAGGGCCCGCCAGCCGACATTGTCTGGCCGACAGGACCTGAAGGAGGCCCAATCTATGGGACCTCACTGGTCTCTGGGAACTGTGCGGCAGTATGCGGTCCTGTAAGTAACCTGGCCCTATGCCATGAAGGGCTTTAAACCAACACCTTGAATTGCGTCCGGAGACCCACAGGAAGCCAGTGCAGCTCGCGGAGGATAGGTGACACGTGGGTGTACCTTGGCGCGCCCACAATCGCTCTCGTGGCTGCATTCTGAACCAACTGCAGCCTCCGAACGCTCTTCAAGGGTAGCCCCATGTAGAGCGCGTTACAGTAATCCAGTCTTGAGGTGACAAGGGCATGAGTGACCGTGAGTAAAGCCTCTCGGTCCAAATAAGGCCGCAACTGGTGCACCAGGCGAACCTGGGCAAAGGTCCCCCTGGCCACATCTGATAGATGTTGTTCCAAATTTAGCTGTGAGTCCAGGAGGACACCCAAGTTGCGTGCCTGCACTGAGGGAGGTAAATTTGCCCCCCCCCCCCAGGACTAATGATGGACCATCCAGTTGATCTTTGGGAGGCAAGACCCAGAGCCACTCGGTCTTGTCAGGGTTGAGTCTAAGCCTGTTCACCCCCATCCAGACCCTCACATCTTCCAGGCACTGGCACATCACATTGACTGCTTCACTGAAAGGACACGGGGTGGAGATATATAATTGGGTATCATCCGCGTACTGATGATACCTCACCCCGTGTCGCCGAATGATCTCACCCAGCGGTTTCATGTAGATGTTAAAAAGGAGGGGGGACAGGACCGAGCCCTGAGGCACCCCATGATCGATCATCATTATTGTGAGGAGCACGAAGCTGAAAACACCAGCCTGAAGATGACGAATGGGACTTCGTCGAAACGTCACCAAGACACTTCCAATTTTACGCGGGAGAAAACCCGAACAACCAAAGACCTACATATATATATATATATATACATATATATATACATATATATATACACACACACACACACACACACACAAACACACACAAAAGGATATATGCAGTGTTATCTTCATTTTAGATGTCAAAAGGGTCTCTCTCTCTCTCTCTCTCCCTCCCTCCCTCTCCCTCTTTCTGCCCTTGGTCTGCCAGTCCTCTTCCCCCACTGTGTGTGTGTGTGTGTGTATGTGTGTGTGTGTGTGTGTGAGAGAGAGAGAGAGAGAGAGAGAGAAAGGCACTTGCGCTTCCCCCTTTTTCTTTCTTTCCTCTTTCCTTCCTCTCTCCCTTTCTCTTCTCCCTCCCTTTCTTTTTCTCTTTCCTCTCTCCCTCTTTCCTCTCTCTCTCCTCTCCCCCTCCTCTTCCTCTTCCTTTCTTTCTTTCCTCTCTTTCTCCCTTTCTCTTTCCTCTCCCTTTCCTCTCTTTCTTTCTTTCCTCTCTCCCCCCCTCTCTTTTTCTCTTCAACTCCCTCCCTTTACTAACAAAACCAGTTCACCTACCAAATCGTTTAACTTTCTCCCTTAAAGCTGGGCAATCGGGGATTCACCACATTCTGACAAAGAGAAATGCCAGCATCTCTCACTTAGCATCTATCCTGCTGCCAGGACGGCAAACGCTGTATGTAAGCAATATCTGGAGAGCTACAGTTCATCTGCACCCTCCTGAAAGGCTCTCCCATCCGTTGCAATGCCACGCTTTGAAAGGCCCCTGACCCTCCTCCGCTTCAGACCGACTGCGCCTAGCAGGGAGCCTCAGTAGCCGGTGAGGACGGGAGGAGGGGAGGAAGAGAGACAGACCGTCTCCTCGCAGCTCACTTCCAATCCCAATGTGGTGAATCCTGCTTGGGATTTGGGACTGAGAGGGGGAAGATCCTGGCTCCCAAGCCGCAGGGACTTCCAACCACAGAGCTTGCTTGGCTCTGTTCCCAGCCAGCGCCGCGCGTGCAAAACAACAACAGCAACAAAATGCTGCGGTCGAGACTTGCCCGCCTGCCCGGCTCCCAGGCCTCAGTAGCCAATCATTTGAAGCAAGCAGCCTCGTCCGGAGAGAGAGGAGAGGGTGAGGGCGGATGGACCGAGTCTGTGGCAGGAATAACACGGGTTCAGGAGATGTTAGCACGAAAGTTCCGCGTCTTTAGACTTACCTCGCCTTGCCCCCCACTGGTTCTTCACCAGAACAAGTCGCCCTCTCTCTCTCTTTCTTTCCTCTGCCTCTCTCTCTCTCTCCAGATGAGGAGAGAGAGAGAACGAAAGGCAGGGGGCGCCGAAGGGGCAGGGAGAGGATGGGGGCGCAGGAGGCAGTAGAAGGTGCTGAAAGGAGCCTGGGACACCACGGACCGGTCCAGGGAGACGCATAGCTGGTTTGGCAGCCCTGGGATGGCCAGGGAGCAATGCTGCCGCTGCCCCAGCTGGAACTGCTGCCCAACCTGGTCCGGGGAGACATATGGCCGGCTCGGCAGCCCAGGGACGGCCCAGGAAGCGATGCCCCCGCTGCCACCGGGACTGCTGCCCAGCTTGGCCTGGGGAGACACGTGGCCGGCTCGGCAACCTGGGGATGGCCCAGGAAGTGATGCCCCCCTGCTGCTGCCCCAGCCGGGACTGCCGCCCGGCCCAGCCTGGGGAGATGTGTAGCCAGCTCGGCGTCCCGGGAACGGCCCAGGAAGTGATGCCCCCACCCTCGCTGGGACTACTGCCCAGCCCGGCCCACAGAGACATGTGGCCAGCTCGAAGCGATGCCCCCGGTCCGGGGAGATACGTGGCCGGCTCGGCGACCTGGGGATGGCCCAAGAAGTGATGCCCCCCCGCCCCCCCCAGCCGGGACTGCTGCCTGGGGGGGGGGCAACAGGAGGAAGAAGGGGAGGAGGAGGAGCTGCAGGAGATGGCTCAAAGAGCCACATGCGGCTCCGGAGCTGCGCGTTGCTAACCTGTGTCCTAGGAAAGATCTGGGTTCTTTAATAAAGGGACAAATGGAGCTTAAGTTAAAAGTGTTAAGAATGTTAAGAAACAATTCAGCAAACCAATTAGATGCTGTAGCACCACTGTTTTCTATTGTATAGGAGGATAGATTTTTTTAAAAAAAATCTAAATTGGGGGAAAATGGAAGATGTGTTAAAATTAGTTGCTTTACTTACCATGCTCCCCACCCCTTGAAACCGATTGCCTGAAGGACTGTCAGGATAAACTGGGCTCCAAAAATGAAGAAAAATGCCATGAAATTAAAAGAGCTGTCTGACCTGGGGGAAGCATGAGGAAGAAGAAACATAAATTTAGTACACAAGTAAATACAGGTTGTTCTCGATTTACAACCATTCATAATGACTATTCAAAGTTACAATGAGAATAAAAGAGTGACTTATGACTGTTTCTCACACTTACAACCACTGTAGCATCCCCATGGACCATGGTCATGTGTTCAAAATTTGGATGCTTGGACACTGGTTCATACTTGTGATGGTTGCATTGTCCCAGGGTCATGTGATCCCCTTTTGTGACTTTTTTGGGGGAGTGTCTGGGTCCATTTTTTATTTAATAACACAGATTAAATTCCTAATCTCTACCTCCTTTTTCTGGCCAATGATAAACTACCCTTTTGTGACTTTTTGACAAGGAATTTCAATGGGGAGGTCAGATTCACTTAACAATCAACTTAACAATTAACTTAACAAAGCAGTGATTCACTTAACAACTGTGTCCAAAAAGATCATAAAATGGGACAACATCCACTTAGCAGCTGTCTCACTTAGCAACAGAAATGTTGGGCTCAATTGTGGTCATAAATGGAGGACTACCCGTAACGGAGAATAATTCTATGAATTAGTTCCATTGAGTGGGCTCTAATTCTAATGTTATGAGAAATGGAGTAAAATATATCCCTGCTGACTCATGCTTTATTATGCATCAATCTATTAATCTCCCTGTGTCTTTTTCTTTCTCTAAATAGCCCCAACTGCTGCATTCTTTCCTCAGATGGAGAGTGTTCCAACTCCTTGATCAAAATATTGCAATTAAGATTTAGGGGTAGGATGAAGGAGGGCGCTCCAATTCATTTCTTTATTCTGCAGCACCAGACCTAGAGCTCTAATTTTGGAAATTTAAGAGCAAGAGATAAATACACCAGTGTGAAATTTTACCGGAAGGCTTTGTAGACTGGCCGGAACCAACACACATAACTACAGGGGCTGAAGAGGACAAGCCAAAGAATTGCCAAGCCAAAATTGGTACCAGTATCACCACCGATCCACCAAGCCAGAGAAGCAATGAGGTTAACACTCAAAGTGATGCAGTAAACTATGAAGGAAAAAAAAAGAGAGACATTCAAAGTACTGGGAAAATCCAAGACTCTTTAAAGCAATGATGTACAATATGGACTTTGAAAGCTTATGGAGAAATTAGATCTAAGATAATGTGCTAAGAAAAGCTTCTCTCAACAGTACTTGGGCGATAAAACCAATTAGCCAAAGGACCAGAAGTCCTACCCAGAAGAAGTCTCTATGACAGAGGCTGGGTGTGTCCTCCTTGGCAATCAACCGCAGCTGAGGTGATCTGATTTGTTAGTATTTTAACTTAGTAAATATTTTTTTCCATTCACATATTGCCGGGCTAGTATTGTTTTCACACATTTTGATGTTGATAAGCTGGCTACCGAGCTGATTTTCTTAGGTAGCAAAGATAATTAATTAAAAATAAAATATATCCTAGTCTCTTCTTCTGATAAAGGCTCCTGGATTTTTATTTTCATCAAGCCAATTTTTTTTAACAACGATAAATTTCTAGCAGCCTAAATCGACGGTTATTAATCCCATAAAAAGATGCACAAAGGTGTACAAATATGCCCAAGAATATACTCTCAAACATCAGTGCACATTATGAAAGATCAGATCCAGGCTCCTGGATCTTTGTTTATTTATAGAATTTATATGGCTACTCATCTCAAGTAATGACACTGAACAATGTTATCTGTTGCAACTAGTCTAATTTGGATCTGCACTGAAAGGGGGATAACTGACACCAGATTTCGACAGCCCCGCCTTTCCCTATGGCTGCTTTTCGGCCCTCAGAATCCCTGGAAATCTAGCGTGCTTGGATTTCTGTAAGGAGGCCATTAGCTAAGAAAAGGCTGGTTTCCCATTTGATGATTCAAGTATAGCAACAGCACTTAAACTTATATAACACTTCAGAATCCTTTACCAGCCCTCTCTAAATGGTTAATAGGGTCAGCATATTGTCCCCAACAATCTTAGTCCTCATTTTACCAACCTTGGAAGGATGGAAGGCTGAGTAAACCTTGAGCCGGTGAGAATCGAACTGCTGGCAGTCAGCAGAATTAGCCTGCAGTACTGCATTCTAACTGCTGCACCATTACAGCAAGTATGCTTACTTTATACAAGTCCATCACTTAGTTTTGATTTTGTATGGTTTTAAAATTTTAACCTGCATAGGTTTACTATTTTAATATACTTTAATATATTTTAATTTCTAGTTGTTTTATAACATCAGCTGCCCAGAATCGCCTTATAGGAGAGATGGTCAGAATAAAAACCAAATAAATAAATAACGTGATAATGCCAAGTTAAATCCTTTACCAACACCAGCTCTAAGAAGTAGCCCCTTTGTTGGAATAGATTTAAGTTAATCTTTCCTAGATCAGACTTTGGCCGGCAACCGCAAACTTTTTGGGGAAATCACTGCATGGGCATGAAGGAAACAGACTTCTCCTGTTGATTCACTTACTTCCTAGAAAAGACTGTTCTAAACAAGGACATGTGGCTGATGAGTCATCAATAAATCACTTCTTCTAACTCTTATTTGGAAAAATTAGGCAAAGAAGTCCATAATGCTGAAGAAGGTAGAGGAACATGACAACTAAGGGCAACCGTGGGATCTGGCAGGGTGAGAGCTGTGAAACATAAACACAAAGCTTTTGCTGTGTCCCTGCATAACAGTGCCCTTGCTGACCTTAATAAGGACATTAAGGATACAGGTCCAGGTAGTTGTGATGATAACTCAAATAAGCAGGGGATCGTGGTCTGAGATGAAGAACTTGTTTTTGACAGGGAGAAGTGCGAATCAGGTATTACACATCAGTCATGTAAGAAGAGCAAGGCATCCAAAAAGAGAAGCCAACTTCTGGTTGGTGATTCAACTATAAGGGATGTAAATTTAGGAAAGGACACAGAGGTTTTGAAAGAGGTCAGGTGTCTTCCAGGTGCTACTGCCAGTAGGACAAGAAGCATATTTTTAAAATAATCAAGAATGCCAGCAAGGTCTGTGATGTGGATGCTATTGTACATCTTGGCACTAACGATCTGTCCCAAAAAGATGTACTCTCTGTGCAGAATTATTTCCAGAGCTTGGAGAAGGAACTTAGCAGGCTAGGCTGTAGGTTTACTTTTTCAGAGGTTTTACCAGTGTATAAGGAGCAAAATGGAAAAGAATTCAAAAGGAGTGGTGTAACGGGAAAGGCTTTGGATATATTAGTCATGATGTCCATAGCTTGTCCAATAAAAAAATGTACAAAAGAGATGGTTTGCATCCATCAAAGAAAGGGAATGGAGTTACTTGGCAATAAATTCACAGATTTTCTGGAGGAATATTTAAACTAAACAATGGGGACAGTGAATTAATTGATACAGAACATACCTGTCCCCGGCAATTTAAAAATTATAGGGCTATCAGTGCATGTAACATAGATGTGTATGTGGACAAGAATATCAACCTTATTGTCAAACAAAATCAAGCTTTTAATTACAAGTGCCATACAAAATGCACTAACCAAACAGGTGGTAAGAAAATAGGGGAACTCAGGCACCACACATGTTATGTAAAAGGTAAACACAGGGTCAATCATAAAGGATTCAAATGTCTATACACCAATGCACAGAGTATGAACAGCAAACAGGGTGAACTAGAAATTCAGGTTAATGAGGGCAGACATGATATTGTTGCCATTACGGAAACTTGGTGGGATGAAACCCACAAATGGAACACACAGCTAGAGGGATTTAAATTATTTAAAAGAAACAGACCAAATAAAAGTTGCTCTCTCTATAAGAAATAACTACATCTCTACTAAATAGAGCACAACAATGATGAAAGCTGTCTTGAATGCATTTGGGTCAATATAAAAGGGGGGGGGGATGACATTGCCATAGGTGTATACTATAGGCCACCCAACCAAACAGAGCAAATAGATGAACTTTTTGCTAGTCAACTAACTGTGTAGGAAACACATCACAATAGTAATGGGGGACTTTAATTACCCTGACATCAACTGGGAGACAAACTCTGCATCAAGTGGAAGATCAAACAGATTTTTGACAAACCTAGCAGACAACTTTTTCTCCCAAAAAGTAGAGAAGGGAACTAGGGGATTAGCCATATTGGATCTAATTCTCACTAACAGATATGAAATGATAGAAAGTGTTGAAGCCACAGGAACCTTGGGGAAAAGTGATCATGCAATATTGGAATTCAACATTATGGAAGCATAAGCAATAGAACACAGTCAAACTAGAGTCTTGGACTTTAAAACAGCTAATTTGAATAAACTTAGAGAGGGCTTGGGAAGGATTCTATGGATGAGAATCCTCAAGGGAAAACAACTCAAGAAGCTTGGGAAATTTTGAAAAGTAAGATAATAAAAGCCCAGTCTAGCACAATACCAACGAAGAAGAAAAATAACAGCTCTCAAAAGAAACCAGCATGGCTACATAAAGAACTCTCTGATAAATTGAAAGATTAAAAGGACAAGTATAAAAAGTAGAAAGAGGGGCACATAACTAAGGCAGAATATCAGCAAAAATCCCAAGCCTGCAAAGATGAAGTGAGGAAAGCTAATAATGCTCAAAATGAACAAAAGCTTGTGACCACAGTTAAAAATAACAAAAAAAGCTTCTTTCAACATGTAAAAAACAAAAAAAAAGTGAAGGCAATGATTGGCCCATTAGTGGGTGAAAGTGGCAAGAGGGTGACAAGCAACAGGGAGAAAGCAGAACTATTTAACTTGTTTTTTGCATCTGTCTTTACACAAAGGGAAAAAACAGACCAACTTACCAAAAATAGTGCCATAAAAAACAGAATAGAAACACAAGTTAAGATAGGCAAGAAAATGGTAAGTGAGCACCTGTCCAGCCTAGACGAGTTCAAATCACCAGGATCAGATGGATTACACCCCAAGGTTCTCAAGGAACAGGCAGATGTGATCTCAGAACCACTGAACTATATTTTTCAAAGATCCTGGAGCACTGAGGAATTACCAGAGGACTGGAATAGAGCTGATGTAGTTCCCATCTTCAAAATAGGAAAAAAAATGGATCCATGAAATTACAGACCTATCAGCCTGACCTCAATACCTGGGAAAATTCCGGAAAAAATAATCAAACAACAAATCAGCGAACACCTAGAGGCAAACGAAGTCATTACTAAAAGCCAACATGGATTTGTCAAAAACAGATCATGCCAGACAAATCTTATTGCATTCTTTGACCAAGTGACAAAATTAGTGGACCAGAGGAATGCTGTGGATGTAATTTACTTGGACTTCAGTAAGGCATTTGATAAAGTAGATCACAACCTACTACTTAATAAGATAGAAAAATGTGGGTTAGACAGCATCACCACCAGATGGATTCGTAGCTGGCTGACTGCATCTACATGGAGGGAAGTGTGTAGTGGGGTGCCCCAGGGCTCTGTTCTAGGCCCAGTGCTCTTCAACATCTTCATCAACGATTTGGACGAGGGGATAGATGGGGAACTCATCAAATTTGCAGACGACACCAAGCTGGCAGGAATAGCCAACACTCCAGAAGACAGGCTTAAGATACAGAAGGATCTGGACAGACTTGAACACTGGGTGCTATCTAACAAAATGAAATTCAATGGTGAAAAAAGTAAGGTTCTACATTTAGGCAAGAAAAACCAAATGTATAGGTATAGTATAGGGGGTACCTTGCTCAATAGTAGTAACTCTGAGAGGGACCTCAAAGTCCTAGTGGACAATCACTTAAATATGAGCCAGAAGTATGCTGCAGCTGCCAAAAAAGCCAACACAATACTAGGCTGCATTAATAGAGGGATAAAATCAAGATCACGTGAAGTATTAATACCACTTTACAATGCCTTTGTAACCCTTAAGAAAACCAAAATCATGGCATCCGGCCCTCTCAATTCCTGGCAAATAGATGGGGAAAAAATGGAGGTAGTGACAGATTTTATTTTTCTGGGCTCAAAGATCACCTCAGATGGGGACTGCAGCCAAGAAATTAAAAGACGCTTGCTCCTGGGGAGGAAAGCTATGGCAAATCTAGACAGCATACTAAAAAGCAGAGACATCACCCTGCCAACAAAAGTGCGTATAGTCCAGGCCATGGTTTTCCCAGTTGCAATGTAGGCTGTGAAAGTTGGACCATAAGAAAGGCTGAGCGCAAAAGAATTGAGGCCTTGGAACTATGGTGCTGGAGAAGACTCCTGCGAGTCCCTTGGACTGCAAGGCGTTCAAACCGGTCAGTCCTAGAAGAGATCAACCCCGACTGCTCTTTAGAAGGCCAGATCCTGAAGTTGAAACTCAAGTACTTTGGTCACCTAATGAGAAGGAAGGATTCACTGGAGAAGAGCCTAATGCTGGGAAAGATTGAGGGCAATAGAAGACGGGGACGACAGAGAATGAGATGGCTGGATGGAGTCACTGAAGCAGTAGGTATGAATTTAAATGGACTCCAGAAGATGGTAGAGGACAGGAAGACCTGAAGGAACGTTGTCCATGGGGTCGTGATGGGTCAGACACGACTTCGCAATTAACAACAACAACAACGCCTTGGTAAGGCCACACTTGGAATACTGCATCCAGTTTTGGTCACCACAATGTAAAAAAGATGTTGAGACTCTAGAAAGAGTACAGAGAAGAACAAAGATGATTAGGGGATTGGAGGCTAAAGCATAGAAGGAATGGCTGCTGGAATTGGGTATGTCTAGTTTAATGAAGAGAAGGACGAGGGGGGATAGCAATGTTCCAATATCTCAGGGGCTGCCACAAAAAAGAGGGAGTCAAGCTATTCTCCAAAGCACCTGAAGGCAGGACAAGAAACTAATCAAGGAGAGAAGCAACCTAGAACTAAGGAGAAACTTCCTAACAGTTACAACAATTAACCAGTGGAACAACCTGCCTCCAAGTGGTGAATGCTCCAACACTGGAAGTTTTTAAAAAGAGACTGGACAGCCATTTGTCTGAAATGGAATAGGCTTTCCTGCTTGAGCATGGAGTTGGACTAATGACCTCCAAGGTCTCTTCCAATATTATTATTATTATTATTATTATTATTATTATCATCATGGATCATCGCACAGTCAGCCAGATGTTCAGACTGGATTTGGCATTTTGTCTACCTATCGAGTCCTTACCCAGGACCTGGGATAGGCAGATGTGGATGTTTGATGGTATTACAGGTATCGTCGCAGGATGGAAGCAGTTCCTAATAAGGCCACCTTTTGCAATTGACTAATAGCAAATTTGTCAATGCCAATGGCATTATTATTATTATTATTATTATTATTATTATTGAGGAACTTCATTATGGTACTGAAGGGTGCCCAAAGGGCCAGTATCAGTATCTCTGGAAAGGCTAGGTGAGAAAAGACTGATCTAATCTTTCTAGCCTTTGGGGCTATAAATTCTGCAAGATCATTCATGCATTATGATTTTTGCCAAAGTTCCATGCTCTGCACATATTTTGCAAGATTAGTTAGATACATATCTTGGCTCTTGGCAAACTATCTTCTCATCTCACTGGAAATCTGCCATTTGTCTGGATTTTCACTAGGTTTTGTGTTAGCTTTCCACTCTATATCCATAAGGACTGGTATCTTGCTATTTAAAAACAAAACTGAAAACTAAAGATAAAGACAAAAAAACACCAGACTAAACTCAGAAAGATACGGAGGTGCATTTTTAACTTCCCTCCAGTGTCACGGTGAACAAGGTTTCCAATGCAGCTGAACTTACAGATCCACAAGCGATAGATCCTTCTCACCAGAGTCTGGTAATCAATTGGGATTTCATCTGTGAAGTTCTGGTAGAAGCATGGTTTCAGCGGGATAAATTTAGGAAGTGGGGGGAAGTTGTTCACTTTTTCTACAAAGAGAATAAAAATCAGCTGAGTTAACAGAGGAAATGGCAACTTTAGTCCTTGGAACAGTAAATCAGTCTGAAGATAAATACTCAAACAAGCTTACAGAGTTATTGGGGAACACAAATTAAAGAAGTCAAGAGAAGCAGCCCAACATAATCAGGAATGCAACAAACTGCAATCTAAGCAAAAATTTTTTAGACCTTTTAGGCAATGTAGTCATGAACAAAGCAGCTTTGGAGGGACATGTTTTACAGAAAGATGTTCATATGTATATATTCATATAGTTCAACGGGGACTAGAGAAACAGCTGTCATCCAAGTCAATTTTAGCTTTGAGAGAGAAAATTTGAATTGTTCCACTTGCACTTTACCTGCCATTCCTTCTTTAAGTGCCTTGCCAGAAAGGGTTAAGTCATGAAGAGCTGGATCTAAAACAGAGGAAAAGAAATGTTAAGTCCAGGGGGAGATTAAGACCTTAATTTCCCACAGATTCAGCACTGATAAAAAAGGAGGACAAAGGGTTCAATTTATCAAGACCTCTCAATAAGTCAGCAATTGGCCTCAAAAGGTTAAGATATGAAAGGACTTGTCCTGTATTTGGAAAGATTCATGCCAAATGAATGTATTTATTTAGCATATGGCAGTCCTTACCTAAGTCAGCTAGAAGATAGATAGATAGAACAAGTTTCAGGTCAACTGGCTATACCAGGGGTAGGCAACCTTGGCTCTTTTATGACTCGTGGACTTCAACTCCCAGAATTCCTGAGCCAGCCAGGAATTAGTGGGGTTAATACTAATCCTTAGGGAGACCATTGTTGAGCATCTTCTCATTACTTCTCATATTGTTTCTCATAATTACACGTAACTTCCTATTGGTGAGCATGCTACCAATGAACCAGGCAATTTACTTGCAGGATATTTATTACCTGAAGCAGTTTATATATGGCATTTAGTCTCAGTGTTGTATGCTGCGGTTAGGTCTACAAAAACAACAGAGGTTTTAAGTTGTTTTTAAAATCCATCTTCTATGTATGTAGTTAACAAGAGAGCCAAATGAAGAAATAAACCAACAAATGAAATGATAGAAAAGCTTCTCCTACTATAGATCTAAAAAGGAGAAATTAATACTTTAATACTTATTATTTTGTTTTGTTTTATTTTTCTATCCCTTTATTATTTTTACAAATAAGTCAAGGCAGCAAACGTATTCACCACACCTTCCTCCTCCTATATGCCCCACAACAATATGCTTCAAGTTCAGGAATGTTGTTCGTGGCACCGTGTTTATTGACAATCCTGGTGTTTTCTTGACTGTTTTCTAAAAACTGATTATTTTTGTTTTGATCTGGTACAGTGGAAGAGAAAGCCAGAGCACTTAACTTTGTTTTTCTACAATACTGGCATTTATTTCTGACCACAAACCCATTTTTTACCTGTTACTCCTAAAGAGGCAAAAATAAAGAGATGTCATATTCCTTAATTTTCAATAACTTGTAGCTCCATTTGTAAAACAAAATGCTACTATATATATAAAAATAATAATCTGAAAGAAATGCTAATATAAAGGGCACACATCTATATTAGCATAGGAAAAGCTGCATGTGTAAAATTACTGTTGCCTGGAGAATATATCAGCCATTATTATTTATTATTGCAAAACATAGAGCAGTTTGCTCTGTCACTAGCTTTAGCCAAGAGACACACAATCTGCATAACATAGGCCTTGTTTTACAGAAGGGGTAACAAGTCCTCCCTTCAGCAAATGGACAGAAGACCCCTTGTGCCAATTCTAAGAAGGCCTTTAAAAAAAAAATCTCAAGAGAATACAAAGAGGCAAGTGTCTCCTCTTAGCAGCAGCCAAATTTGTCAGGAGAGGCAGCAAAAGGAAGATTCAGAAAATCAGAAAACCAGTCCTGCTTTAAGAAAGAAGATCAAATCATATATTCAGAAATGCTAAGGAAGGTTGGTCTTCCAGAGCATCTATTTGAACAAGAGTCTAGACCAGGGGTAGGCAATCTTGGCTCTTTTATGGCTCGTGGACTTCAACTCCCAGAATTCCTGAGCCAACATGGCTGGCTGAGGAATTCTGAGAGTTGAAGTCCACGAGTCATAAAACAGTCAAGGTTTCCTACCCATGATCTAGAATATTTAAGTTTGCCTTTTTCCAGTTTATCCTGTTTGTTCACTAAGGATTTAATTAGAAACCCAACAGTTATTCTAATGTCTATGAGAACTCATTATGTTTAGGTTACACACTGAGTTTTGTTTCTGCAGTACTTCTGCAGTACTTCAGATATGCAGCAAATATTTTATGGCATTTAAAAATATGTTTGTTGTGAACTGAATTTACTTCAGGACATAAAGTTCGCCAAGCTTCATTTCTTAATGACTTTCGGAAATTGCTTGCAAATTGCTTTTTAGCTATTAAGAACTTTTGCAAAGACAGATGAGCACTAAGTGAGTTTCCTTCAATCCTTAGTAAAACAAGTTTTAAATGCAAGATTAAGGAGTTGTGGGTTTTTTTTGAATAAACAGCAAAAGATTTGAACATTGATTTGAACGGAATAAAGATCAGATGGATTTGAAATAAGATTTTGAAAATAATTATAAGAATCTTTCCTGTGGGAAAATGCTGAATTCCTTAAAAAAAATATGATTGGATGGGGCTTTGAAGGTTGGACACTAGAGGGAACCAGAAGGAACTAAAGATTACACTTAAAGGTAATACAGGTAGCCCTCAACTTACAACAGTTCATTTAGTGATTGTTCGAAGTTACAGCACTGAAAAAATTGACTTATGACCATTTTCCACACTTATGAACACTGTAGCATCTCCATGGTCACGTATCAAAATTCAGACTCTTGGCAATTGACCTATTTATGACGGTTGTAGTGTCCTGAGGTCATGTAATCTGCGACAAGCCCAGTCAGATTCACTTAACAACTGTGTTACTAATTTAACACAGTGATTCACTTAACAACTGTGGCCAGAAAGGTTGTAAAATGGGGCAAAACCTACAACAAATGTCTCACTTAACATAAATGTTGGACTCAATTGGGATCGTAAGTTGAGGACTATCTGTAATGCACAAACAGAAGGATATTTGTGAACAATGGACCCAAATGTTAATTTTAAAAGTCTCTGCCATTATGGATAGACTGTCTCTAAAAGAAGGTATGAAAGAAGAACAAATTTTACTGGACAAGACCGAGACTGATTTGAAAGGCAGGCTACAAGAATAATGTGGAAAAAGATGCTACACGGACATAGAAAAGAAACCAACTGGTATCTTAATAATTAAAAAGAATATACAAATAACAATCCAAGAGAGTGACCTGGATAACTTTCTTGTACTAGATTCACAAGAGACTTGGTTCAAAACAAAAGGTTTTGAAGCATTTTGTGAGAAGAAAAAAAAAAAGAAATAAAGTTCTATGACAGTATTTGAAGGGAATACAGTTCAAGATTCTTAAAAGTAAAAGGAAGGAATACAAGGTTAGTTTATCAAGGTTGATCAAGGTTAAAATAGATATATTATCTCTGGTAACACTTAATGAGCATTTGGTGACCAGGACTGAATGACAAGGTTTTAACTTTTTTTATAGCTAAAAGATGAGATATGGGAAGAAAAGATAATCTGTTGTATTTTTTAAAAAAGGGACCACTTATTAAATTGTTTATACTTGTGATGAAGAGGGAAATAATTTATGTATTTCTTTTTATTATATTCTTATTTTTCTTTTCTATTTTTCATTCTATTTTTCATCCTTTGCACTTTTTAAATTTGTTTCAGTTTGTATCTTGCATTTTAACTGTAATGTTTAACAAAATTGTTATAAAAACACAACCTAATATTATTTATTATCGATATTCATAATTATTAATATTCATAATTCACAGATCCTACCTACATCTTCCTGAAGGGAGAAACAATATGTATTCCCCTCCAGCATTCCATAATTTCTCAGATAATACAAAAAACTTTGGCTAGATCTTCAGTAAACTTCAGTGCACTTAGATTCTATGACTTCTGTAAATTTTAATTCATTCAAGGAAAATAGATATTCCTAGACCACATTTCTATCAAACTGAATCCTGTTTAGACTGTTTTTCAGAATTGTTTAGAAGATCATGCACTTTCTTAAAAGAAATTAGGAGGAAATAGATATTGACTATTCTAGTTCCACCTTTTATTTGCTACCATTTAACATTTTATCATTTTCTCTGATAAACTTTTTTTATTCTGAATCTAGCCAAACAAGCTCTTTTGTTATTCCTAATTTTCTTCACCAATCTTCATTCACCTTGAATTGAACATTAGGGATTCTGACAATAAGCCTACGCTTCTAGTGAACTTTTCCTTGGTTATAAATTTCCATCTCCTATTCTGGCTTTTTCAATTTTCAGGTCTTCCCTAAGGTTACTGTGCATAAATTGCTGGCTTCTTCTGCTTTTTGACTTATTTGCAATTCAATTTTCTATATCTCTTTTAAAAGGCATTGCCCCCCCCCCTTAAAAAAATCTGGTTTATAGTAGTAAAAGAATGGCTAATGCTTTTGTGCCTTCTTCCACTCTATGAAATTTAAGTTATCAGTAAGCCAAGCCTGGAAATATCCTGGAAGAACCAGGTTTGATAGAATGGCTCTCTACAAATGTCATTGAATTAAAAAAAAAACCCTCTTTCACCATAATAATACAATTTGAGATGGCTATATATCGCTCTATATCAACATTAAGACACCAGGCAATTTACATCATTAAGCTGTATCCCACACCAAATGACATACTGCAAGCTTCATATTCAGCTCAGTCTGCTCTATCCTAACAGGCTGTTATCATTTTAGATTTGCCATTTCCTCTTTACTTCCTTCTTTCAAGCAAAGCTGTACCAAGAGGAAGTATGTGCATTAGCAATCCATGTCCTCCTTGGCAATCAACTACAGATGAGAAGTTCTGATTTGTTGCAGTTTTAATTTAATAAAATATTTTTTGAATCAAATATTGCTGTTATTATTTTAATGTATTTTTATGCTGCTAAGCTTTCATAGCTACCCAGCTGATTTTCTTAGGCAGCAAAGATAATTAATTAAAAATAAAATATATTATAAGTCTCTTCTTCTGATGAAGGCTCCTGGATTTATTTTCAGCAATTTTTTTTAACAATGATAAATTTCTAGCAGGCTAAATCTCGATAATCCCATAAAAAGATGCACAAAAATGTACAAAATATGCACAAAAATACACTCTCAGCCATGAATGTACAATATGAAATATTAGAGTAGATTAAACAAAAGTACTTCCTGACTCCCAATTACCTAGTCATAGCTAAACCATAACTAAACCATGGTTTGCTGGCAAAACTATAATTGCCTTGACCACCGATACAGGGTCAGTGTTTCTCAGCCTCGGGAACTTTAGCATAGCTGGCTGTGGAATTCTGGGAGTTAAATCGACACACTGCCAAGGTTGAGAAACATTGAGCTATAAACTACCATTCAAAACTGTAATAGCTCAGTTCTCATAATATGAAAAGCTAAGGCCCAAGAAATTATATTTTGAATTTGTATGATTTAAGAACCAGATAAAAACTCTACTACATAGAGAATATCTGTTAAGTGGATCCATCAGGAGTGTATTTGGGATCATTACAGTGGTACACTTGATTCTGGTACTGTACCGATCCTGAATTCCTGAATAAAGCATCCACTAATGCTGGGTAGATCCCACTAACAGCAAAGTAAATCTTGCAAGCTTGACCATCATTAGGTGCTTCCTCTGTTAAATGAATGGAGCAAGTCTCACTAGTGTTTTTTTTAATAAAAATTATCTCTTGGTTTTTAGTTTTCAAGAAGGCCGTTCCCCATGGCATTCCACTGGTTCAATTTTTTTCCAGATGAGCTGGCAGAAATCATAAGTTCCAATAATGAAACAATCTTTTAAAAAGGGTATTAGTTATACTTATAACTAGTTATACAGGGATGTGGGCAAGGCTGAAACTGGTCTCTACCATCAAGTTTATTTTTATTTTTTTGACACATAGACCTATAAGCAATTTTCACTGGTTGAGGCGGGCAGTTATAGAAAGGGAATTGAATAAATCATTTTTAATAAAAGGGAACCCTGCAGGCCACAGTATCCTCACATTTATTGTAGAATGACCACTTCAAGGACCAAACTTCACCACAGTTTAGTGAACAAAACCTTTCCAAGTTGTTAAATTTTCAGATCTGTATCACTAGGTCATCCCCACGCTGGCTGGGGATAATGGGTATTATAATAATAATACAATATATTTGGATATGCTGGAGGACCGGGCGGAGGCAGCCTGGCCCAAACCATACATTTTACATTTGAGGTACAATTCCTGCAGGCCAAACTTAGGAACCTGTTTCCCGAGGGCAAAGTCAATTCTTAGGCCACTTGTTTGCCTTTTAACTCCGCCACATTTGTGCAAAACGCTCCAGCTTACAAGGGGGGGGGGGAGGGAGCCAGGAATCTCCCCAGGATACCTGAGCCATCCAGGAGGCTCTTCCTTCCCCACAATAGCTCGGCTTCCACCTCAGAAGCCCAGCCAGAAGAGTGTTCCTTCGGGGCGCCCTAATTTTTCGCCCATCCCATCTCATTAAGTTCCCTGGGCCCACGATGGGGCCCGAGCGTTGCATAAGCTCGCCTCGAAGCTCAAACGTGGGCCACCTCCCCCAGTTCGCACAACCGCTCCCAACCTTTCCCATTCCCCGCTGCTTTTCCTTTCCAACGAAGCACAGCGCTATTCAACACACACACACACACACCTTCCACCAACCTCCCAGCTATGCCCACTCGCCCAGCTTCCTTTGCACATACAGGACGATCCGAGCGTGCAACGGCTCCCTGTGACAGGGACTGCTTGTGCAAAGCCCCGCCTCTTCTAACGGCGCCAGCCAGTCACCGGTCTCCCGCAGCCAACGGCTGGGGAGGGGGGGGGAAACAGCGTCGCCCCCTCAGAAGCTCCCCGTGAGATGCACCACGTCCTCCGCCGTCTTGGACATCTGCCGCGGTTGCCTTTTGCTTCTCCCGAAAGCTTTTTCATCCGAAACTGCGGCGTGCCACCGGGAGTTGTAGTTCTTCAGACGACGCTGCCCGTAGGGCTGAGTTCGAGGGTAGACTACAAGTTCCGGCATTCTCCGCGAGCGGGCCGGTTGGGAACCGCCTTTCAAGTCATTTGGCGAAGGGCGATAGGCTAACGGATCCGTCAAGAAAAGGAAAACATAAACTTTGTACTGGTTAGAATCATGCAAAAAGCATCGATTACGGGTTTAGTGTGAATGTTTCTCCTCTCTTGAGAAAATGGGAAAGCTTGTTATTGTAAACATCCTGTGAAATCTGGTGACCTCCAAAGATTTGGGAACGCAGCAACCGGCCTCAGAATCGCCAAGGAAGATAACTGAGTGGTAGATAGCTTCTGCTTTTCAACAATAAAGAAACAAGAAGCCCAAAAATATGCTGCAGGCTAGCACTTGATAATTTCTAACACTGGTTTTCTATCAAACACATCAAGTTTTATTTGATTACAACTTACCTCTTCTGCAACCCTGAGAACAACCTAACAGTCACATGAAACCTCAAAAATGAAGACTTAAAAACTGAAGAATGGGAAGAATTGAATAAAATTGGATAAAGTAGATAAAATAGAAACTGGGTAAAATACATGAATACTACACAATAAAAGACGGGAAAATGTCAGAATTCCCAAGGTGATACCTTACACCTTTTTGGAGGCATTAAATTACTGACAGTGTTGATATTGTAGTCAATAGTTTCTGGTTCCATTCATCTAAGATCTCCTTTAATATTTCTGATGCTATAACATTTGTGTCCTTATTAAATGCATCAGGCTGATTTTTCTCTGTCTACTTAAAATCTTTAGTCCCCTCTAGTGTTCAGTTTCTTTTATTATGACTTGCAATAATCAGAATAGCGAAAAATCTGTTTTCCACAAGAAGTTGTTCATTTTTTATAGTTAATTCCAAAATCTTATAGTAGAAGTCAATATTTCAGATTTGTTCCAGCCCTTAATCCAGTTATAAATCTAAATCTTATTTTGCTTTTTGTTGTTTATTTCAAATATTTTAAATTCTTAAGCTTGTAATTAGTTTTTCTTTTATTGAAGATAACCTCACCTAATGAAGACATTTCAGATTTGCCATTTGGAGAGTCTCTAATAACTTTACCATGATTAATAGGCAATTTCCGAAAGTGATTAGATAATCGGGTTTGTGAATTTAGGGTCCTTCTGCAGAGAGGTCTTCAATTCACCATACCTCCTGTCGGAAGAAAAGTCTTCATCATGATTCAGTCCAAGCTGGGGATAAACAACATGGTGACTGCTTTAGAAAGAAGGTTTCAGTTTATTGAAGAGGAGAGCCAGACAGAAAGATGGTTCTGACAGGAAAGAGGAAAAAAGGGCTGAGCACAGGTAGGGAGTGGGTTTTTATACCCTCTGGAGCCTTTGTTTGGAGTTGTTTCTGTGGCATGAACTTTGACCTGAATCTGAGTGTACTTTTCTGGTATTCTGATGGTAATGGGTTAATTCTATTATGACCCAAAGGTCATGTACTGCTTCCCTGGTGCTGGGGCTAATGATTCTTAGAGTTTGGATGGGGTATGTAGTTTTTAGGTCTTTGTCTTCTTAATCTCCTAGCTCCCTGGATTTACATCTGCATCTCTATAGAGCTGGTTTCTGCTTGGGGAAGGAAGACCTGGGGCTATTAAGAAAACTGGGCATGCTTTCCTGCCTCTTTAAGATCCTTTGAGGAAATATATTTTTCTGCCCTTTTAATATTTCCTTTTCTGGGGGGCTGATTTTCCACACTCCCCTGGAAGACCAGACAGAGCTTGTCTCCTGTTTGTGTTAATGGCTGTTTTTCAAATGATTTCTGGATGCTGTGTGTTTTTATTTACTTATTTTTTTGTTATATCTATTTTATTGTAAGTTGTCAAAGCTATATAAATTGATTAAATCAAATAGTGCATGTAGTCCTCTACTTACAACCACAACTGAGCCCAACATTTCTGTTGCTATGCAACAGTTGTTAAGTGAATTTTTATGACCTTTCTTGCTGCAGATATTAAGTGAATCATAATTGTTAAGTTAGAAACATGGTCGTTAAGTGAATCTGGTTTCCCCATTAATTTTGCCTGTCAGAAGTTCACAAAAGGGGATCACATAACTCCGAGACATTGCAACCATCATAAATACATGCCAGCTGCCAAATGTCTGAATTTCGATCATGTGAACACGGGGATGCAGCAACGATTGTACATGTGAAATAAGATCATTCCTGAGCCAGTCATGCTGAGAAAGGGAGGTTTCCAAGCTGAGCCATGCTGGTTTAGGAATTCTGGGAGTTGAAGTCCACGAATCATAAAAGAGCCAAGGTTGCCTACCCCTGGGCTAGACAGTCACTTGTCTGAAATGGTATAGGTTCTTCTGCTTGAGCAGGGAGCTGGACTAGAAGACCTCCAAGGTCCCTTCCAGCTCTATTCTATTCTATTCTATTCTATTCTATTCTATTCTATTCTATTCTATTCTATTCTATTCTATTCTATTCTATTCTAATCTAATTTTAATTAATTTTTAATGTAGCTTTACAATTTTTGCTCACTTAACTAGAAATGTTGACACACTGATGGAATAATAGGGTGCCAAGCCTAAGATTCTACTATTTGCAGGCAATACCTTATGTTTTACAGCTAAATCAGTTCCATTCCTAGTTTCATTTTATCCAGAGATAATGGGCTTCCTTTGTGGGGGTGGTGTCACACAGGGCCGTGGAGCTAAACTTGCACACCTACTGTGGGACAGAACAAAAATAACTCTAGGCAGGCAAATACTTTCTGTCCAAGAATGTCCCCAAAATGACTGGCTGGGGATTTCTGGGAGTTGAAGTCCACATATCTTCAAGTCACCAAGGTTGAGAAACAAACTACTTCCCAGAGTTGCTGTAACAGTGAAATAGACAGCATAAAAATTGAATAAACAGCTGGTTTAGCACAATATGTGAATACCATATTACTGATGGCACTTTACAGCTCATACAGTGATGAATTCATCATTGTTTCATGCTACACACTGAAGAGCAGTTATTTGTAGCTATTTTTTAAAAAAAAATACAAGGAAAAGAAGTGGGGAAGAAAAACACTCGATCCCATTTTTGCACTCCGTAAAACATTTTTATTTTGCTCAACTTGAACGTTCTTGTGTAATACTGTATACATCTATCTTTCTAGACATCTTATCGAAACATTTTATTTAAATACATAACATTTTTTAAAGTTTTATGAAAAAGTCCTGTTTTTCTGCACTTTTCCCTCTCCCTCCCCGCTTTTAAATAAACATTTAAGCTTTCATGTTTCAAAGCAAATTGGCCCCTAATAGAAAGTATAGGACTTCTTTTCCTTTAAAAAAATAGAAATTACCATTTTACACAACAAAACATTCAATGCAAACAGAAGCTATTCTTCACCCTAATTCTAAAATTATTTTCTTGTCTGTACTTTTGTGTGTGTGTTTGTTTGTGTGTGTGATGTATCCTTCCCCACTCCAAAAGCCCTGATGGCTGAGGACTATGGGCCCTGAAGTCAACATTTTTGCAGGACATCAGATTGGGAAGATCCATATACAGTTTAATAACTGCACACTTATGGTACCATATGTTTCATTCAAAACATAAAACATAAAAACCAGGCTGCAGATGTACGGATTTTTCTGTTTGCACCAATATTCACAAGTATAAATACTTTATACCAATCAACCTTTTTTTCTCTTCATACATAGTGTGAGGGTTCTAGAGGTGATAAAATGCACATCTAAGCTTCCATTTAAAAAAAAAGAATTATATAGATATATATGCATGTGTTTATGTAGAACTATATAGAAAGCATCATTTAGGAAGGAATGATCCCTCATTGTATGGCCTGGAAATTCACGTCATCTTTATAAACTCCTGAAAAACTGTTGCCCACTAAGTTTTCTTTCCTTGTAATCTATTTTTCAGGTCCACAGTGAGTCATGGGCTAGAAAAATAAACATTTTTGCTTCCTAGAATTTGAGAAGATTTACTCCAAGAATCACATTCCAGAAATGTACAGGTATGTACAGAGGTGCTGAGTTTCACACTCAGTAATTCTCTCCAGAACTCTCACGTTTTTATTGCTCAGAATTAAATTCCAGATTTTGGATGGTTAGCAACTAAAAAAGGGATTATCTATTCTACAAATCTATGCTTGTTTCAAACAATTTTGGTTATTATGGTTTTTTGTAGTCAGGCTCAGCAACTATACTTGAACAAGGGGCTTGAATTTTTGTTCTTTAAGAAATGCACCCCAAATCATAGGTCTTCTAGTTCCCTGGATAAAGCTATGATTATTAAATCAATTTCTTACATCAAAGATGGAAAATTTGCCTCAATTCCTGCCTATTGTTGATAGGCTCTAAAATATACAACATTTGTTTCTGGTTAATGTTTAAGCCCCAGTGCATTTTGGCTGGAGAATTTTAATCCATAGACCAATGAGCTGAGACCAACTGCTACAAAGCAGAAAAAAAATGAAAAATGTCTCTGGATTTTAACCCCATAAAAGCTCCAATCTCACCATAGGATAGAGACATGTTGATATGTTGGCACAATACAACTAAACACATGCCAACTAATTGGAGAATATTCTTAAAAATGGTAACTGGGGGCATTTTGAAGTCAAGAGAAAAGTGCATACTTTTTAAAAAAAGTAAGTATATATATTTAGGTCGCAGATTGTTCAATATATCTTCAATATAACTTCTGGCCATGATTCTGTTACCGTTTTTTCCTTTAAAAAAAAAATAAAGCTAACATTTGACCCAAGAATAGATGACAAAAGTGCATTTTGCAACTAATAGGAAAGTCAAACCTACTGTACAATGCAAAAGGTCAAGTCACCATGGATTGGGAATCTGTCCTGCTTGTAACCTGAAGTGTTTCCCGTTTCTCTAAATTGAAGTAAACGATGCTTTGTCTGTTCCAGATAAGGGTATTCATGTCTACCACATGCATCTGTGTTTCACAACCTTATCAACTTGAAGATGTCTACAGTTCAATTCTCAGAAGTCACCAGTGAAACATGCTGGCTGGAGAATTCTGGGAGTTGAAGTCCACACATCTTCAAGTCGATAAGGCTGATAAACACTGACCTACACGACTAAACGTCAGTGTTAAATTTTTTCTCCTAACCCACCACCAGAATGCTGCAGACCCCCATCTTTATGCCTCCAAGAACCCATTCACCCCATTGTCCCAACCCACAGAAGTACAAATGGTGATTCATATCCTGTGCGTCTAAAGATTCCCAGCATTTAGCTCACCAGTTAACAAAAAAGAAGAGCGAATGAAATAATTGTTTCGTTGAAAGGCAAAGCCCTTTGTTGCTAGGGGTCAATACTGAATTCTCCAGAAATCAAGTTGTGCTGCAAATGGAGAAGTTAAAAGGAGAAACGAATTTGGAATCAAGGGAATGTAGAACTGATCTCAGCCTTGGGTAAAAACTAGAGAAGCAAAAGGCAAGATCCTGAATCGAATGAATAATTCAGAGGGCTGGGGAAATGGGAGTATTTTCTGGAATTCTGAACATCTAGATTTCCCATTTTACAGCATCTGGGCAATGCAGCCATTACAAGTAATCCTCAACTTGTAGTGAGGATTAGTGACCGTTCAAAGTTAGTGTCACTTAAAAAAGGGACTTAGGACCATTTCCCACATTCATCACCCCTGGACCATCCCCCGTTGTCCCGTGATCAAAATTCAGACGCTTGGCAACTGATTCGTATTTATGATGCAGTGTCCATGTGATCAACTTTTGTGACCTTCTGACAAGCAAAGTCAACGGGGAAGCCAGATTCACTAAACAACTGTCTTACTAACTTAAGAAATACAATGATCCACTTAATAACTGTGGCAATAAAGGTTGTAAAATGGGGCAAAGCTCACTTAACAACTGTCTTGCTTAGCAACGGAAATGTTGGGCTCCATTGTGGTTGTAAGTCAAGGATTACCTGCCTGCCTTGCCTGGCTGAAAGTAGCTGAGGTTACACCCGGCAAGCTCATTCAGAGAGCTGAGACTTGCGGGAATGGCATATGCCACTCTCTCCTTGATCCCAGGATAGAAGACATTGCTTACTTTAGGGAGTTAGGAATTGATGGCCCTCCATAAACTGTAAAGCTACCACTGCCAGGTAACACCACCAAACAGGACCAACAGGGTACAGATAGCCCTTGACTTAAAACCATTCGTTTTGTGATCATTTGAAGTTATAGCACTGAAAGAGACTTATAACCAGTCCTCCCACTTAAGATCATCACAGCAGTCCCATGGTCACGTGATCAAAATTTGAGCACTTGGCAACCAGCATGGGATTCATGACGGTTGCACTGGCCCTGGGTCACGTGATCACCATTTGCAACCTTCCCAATTGGTTTCCGACGAAGTCCATAGAGAAAGCTGGATTCACTGAACTGCAGTGAGACATTTAACAACCATGACAAAAATGGTTGCAAAATTGGGCACGATTCAGTTGACAACCACCTTGCTTAGAAACAAAAATCCTGGTCCCAATTGTGGTTCTCTCAGGACTATTAGTTTTGGCTTCTAGCAGCATCCGAAAGGTTCAACCATTAGGTTCAACCATTAAAGGTTTGCCATTAGTTTGAAGAAAGCAGCCATGCCATTTAAGCTGGTGTTGGAGGTGCCGCTGAGTTTGAGCAGGATAAAAATAATTACCCTGCAAATGTGAGCTATTGGGTGGGTCTTTTTATCATCTGGTTGATTCTACAGTATTGCGCAGGCCCGAAGGAAAGGCCTCTACATTTAGCTATAGGCCTGTTCATCATTCATGTGGTGAACCGATACCAACCAAGGTCTTCTTCTAATGGACTCTTCCACATGAATGAAACATTGAATGAAACTTTCTTGGGCTCCCAAAGGGTTTATAATATGGAGAAAGAACAAACATGATGTAGAAGCAGTCTTGGCAGAGACTGCTACAGAACAGCATTTTTTGAACTTGGGAGATTAAGATATGCTGGGGAATTCTGGGAGTTGAAGTCCAGACATTTTAAAACTTGCCAAGTTTGAAAAAAACACTGCTTTAGAAGCAATTGGATCATTCGTCATGTAGCTTGGCAGCCAGGTATGGTTAACTCCAGCATCCATCCTCCCCAGCCAGGCCAATCACTGAGGATAATGGCCACTAAAGTCCAATGTCATCCAGAGGCCATCAGTGTTTTTCTTTAACCTGATGCTTTTCCAGTTACTTTGATAGCAGCAGTATTTGTTGATGAGAAATACATCCTGGTTTGCTATGAACTTTACACTTCCTTTTTTTCTCTTAGAGGGTCCAGCCCTCCAGCTGCCCCCGAGAGTCGGAAACACAATTAAATTAAAAGTTCTTTTCTCCCCACATATCCTTCTCCCCACCACCAGCTCTGTCCCATTATCTGGCAGGAGTGTAATCTCTGTGTATGTGTGTGTTTGTGTCTCTTTCTCTTCCCACAGATTTCCATCCTCACGTTGAACAAGTCCACAAGATCTGGTTTTCCTTCTGTACGTCCAGCGTCCTATCCTTCAAACCATGCCAGGGAAAAGCAGAAATCAGCAAAAATATACATACTTATCCACATGGCTGGGCTTAAAGTGGCATTTTTTGGGTTGGGCATCAGCTGGCTGTAAGTCTCATGAGTTTGGGTGGATGTATTCGCATGCCAGGGCAGAGAAACGTGTTCTGCTGAAACATGCTTTTGAGGAAAGGATAGGAATTCTTAACAACAGCATTAATGTGGGATATTCTCTACCGAATGTCATTTCACATTCATTTCACCAGTATGCCCAAAGTCTGCTGGATCTTTAAAAAGGTGCAATTACATTCAACAGTGACTGCAGATCACCACAGATCAACTGCAAGAGGTTGAGGAGGAGGAAAGCCAGGTTGATCCTTGATTTAAAATAAACCACAGGGGTTAGTCAATTCTGCTTTCCCCATTCCGGAAGCCATAAAAGTTTTGCTCTGTGAATTCTGCTTTAGCTCTCTTGAGGACTGCTGTAATGGAACTCTGAATTGAAGACTTCTTTGTAGAGAGGAGGGAAATTTTTGGCCGTCTCCGGATGGACAAGGCGGAAAAGTTCCAGCTTATCTAAGTGAAGGCTGCAGATGGTCTTCATCAAGGGGAGCTTGGCAACCATCTGTGGGAAAAGGAGATGGGTTAGAGCAGGGACCTTGGAGGCTGTTAATTGAAAAAACAACATCTGGAACTCCTGCTGCTGATTCAGAAACAAAACTCCATGATAGAAATTTGGCTGTTTTTGAATGTTTCCCTCCCTTCATCTCATGAAACTCCATCAAATTCTCACTGAAACTCAGAATGCAGTTGGGGAAAACTGGGGTTAGATTACAGGGTTCACAGTGAAATCGACCAATTGTGTAGAAATAGAGGAAGGAGACCAATTGTATATGCTGCATATACAAAATAAAGGAAAAAATACAGATAGTCCTCAACGTACAACCATTTTTAGTGACTAAAGTTACAATGACACTGCAAAAGTGACTAATAAACAGTGCTTGAAATTATAACCCACTGTAGCATCCCCACGCTCAAAATTTGGGCACTGGGCAACCAGCATGGATTTAAGACAATTGCTATGTCTTGGGCCATTTGTATCCTTCCCACCAGGTTCCAACAAAATCAATAGAGAAAGTTGGATTTCCTTGACAACCATGTGATTTACTTACATACAGTGATTCACTTAACAACCATGGCAAAAAAGGTTGTAAATCAGGCACGATTTACTTAGCAACCATTTTGTTTAGCAATAGAAATTCTGATCCCAGTTGTGATTGTAAATCGAGGACTACCTGTGCAGTAGTCCCTGAGATATGAAGGGTTACTTAATGACTATTATAATAGACCCCTCCAAGCTATTTACAACCCCACTTCATTTCGCTCTTGCAGTCATTTGCCCTTTATGATTGAATGCAGGGTGCTGCAGGGCTCCCCCCCTCCTCTCCATCTTGTGTCTTCAGGACCCCACAGGCCTTGGGCCTACTCCCCAAATGCCGGTCAGCCATGGCACACTTAACTTTTGAAGAAATCCAGACCTCATGTTGGGGAAGGAGGTTAGGCCACGTCTCCCTGGGACATGTGGCTGCCTCCTGGAAGCGGCCATCATTTTCAGTGCACCCACAATTTCTTGCAGGTAGGCCAAAATGGCGTCTACTTGCATGAGGCCGCTGCATAGCCAAAGGCTGAACCACTCCATTTTGATGCCTTGATGCGGTCTCCAAGGGCCTCCCCAACTCTGTGCTCTGCTTAATCTTCCACATATTCATTTAACAGCCACATTAGAGAGAGAAGGGGGTGGAGGTTGTTAAATGAGGCCTTCTCACTTAATCGTATCACCACTTATGACCATAATGGGCAAGCTCCATTACAGTATCTCAAGGACCACCTCAAGGACTACCTGTAAAGCGCTCTTTATTGCATGCTGAAAAAGGACTAATGAAACACCTCAGTCTTTAAAGGGTTAATTGAAGGAGACGGCCTTTTCTAAGTCAAACTGATGGACAAAACCATGTAATCCAGCCACATAATGTGTCAACTCATATAAAAAGGGACAAGATTCTGATTGCGTTGTTGTGGCCACCATCTTGACTTATTTACCCTTCCTGCAGACACCCCTGTCTGCCTCGAAGGATACCCCATCCATTCCATCTATTCCTCGTTTCCCTGGGCTCCAGAGTAGGCCAGCCTTTGGCCTATTCAAACCAAACAGGGTTGTTCTGAGCTCCCTTTGTTTAATTTATTTTCTCATTAATGGCTATTGAATATTTGGAAACCTTGGACTTAGCCCTAAGGTGTATCAATATATTTCTCTTGTGTATTAGTCAGTGTCTCTCCCATTTAATTCTTTAAAATGTTGTATTTACCTTGGAGAGCCTGTCTTCGTTCGTATTTTTCTTTTGAATCTCGTGCTGGAGAGCCGTGTAGACTTTATCCTGGAGTTTTTGTATCTTTTTGGACTCAGAGAGCCAAGGCCGATCTGAGAAAGGATAGCACATGTTGGAATTTCTTAGAATTGCAAAATTGCAGGAAGAAAACAACACTTGCTTTTTGTTATTTCCAGTCGTTAACAGCTATTCTCTAGAAAGCATGCGTGTGTATGTGGTGAGGTTCACAAAGTTCATAAAGGGCACTAAGGCATAATGTGATCTGTTTATTTTATGCCTAGCTTTAATCCAGTGTGGTTTGTAGAAACATGATTTATGCAGTGGTGGGATTCAGCTAGTTCGCACCAGTTCGGCAGCTAATTGATAGCTGATTTTTTGTTGCCCAAACCCAGAATGGACTTCCGGAAGTGGCATCAACACAGACAACCGGTTGTTCACATATCTGAACCCCACCACTGGATTTATGGCTTATGGGGACGTGGACATCCAACCATTGTGGCTTATTCAGGGAAAAAATCATAGTTAAAACCAATGTTTAAGCCCAGACTCTGTGGATATGTGTTTGCGAGAGAGTATAAGTGTACAATTGTGAGAAACGTGTTGCAGAGGAAGTCAATAAGGCAGACAATGTATTAACGCCCACAAGAAACGTTACCCTACCTGATGGCCTTCACATGAACTAGAATTTTAGTTGTTGATTCTAATAAATCTCGAAGAATCTGGCTGGAAAGATTTACCAGACAAGCGGACCATACATTTAGGCCCAACAAACTCTGTGTTGTATTTTAGTCTAATCAAACCTTTCTTTGCTGCAAACTCTACCACTGATACCAAGAACAACCACCCTTCAGAGCAATGCTTGACAGTATCCATGTGCAAAGGATTTATGGAAGCGCATCCTCAGTGCCCGAGACCCTCAAGAGCCACTTCTAGTCAAGAGAAGCCAACTGTATGCAACATGGATTCAGAAGGCGCTTTCTATGTTTGCAACCATAATTCTACAGAAGGAGTGGGCAATAACTGGTCTTCTAATGTTCTTTGTCTCCCAGCAGGCCTAGAAGCAATGTCAATAGCAGTAGCAATAACACTTAAACTTATATACTGCCCCATAGTGCTTTACAGCATTCTCTGGACAGTTTACGATGTCAGCCTATTGCCCCCAACAATCTGGGTCCTCATTTTACTGACCTAGGAAGGATGGAAGGCTGAGTCAATCTTGAGCTCTGTCAGGATCAAACTCCAGGCTGTGATCAGAGCTTGCCTGCAATACTACATTCTAACCACTGCGCCACCAGGGCAATGATAAGGATTATGGGAGTGACAGTCTAACATTATCTATTACCATCTCTGTTCTATACTCTGTAGCAGGGGTGGCAATTAATTTTCCCACGAGGCCACCTGAGAAACTGGGCCTGTTTTGGAGGGCCACCGTTGTCCTGCCCCCAATATTGCCATCACCCTATCCTCCACTCACCCTCTCCTGCCCCAATGCCCCACACTCACCACCAACACAGCGGGCCAGACTGGAACTGGCCATATGTGGCCCACAATACATAAAATGCCCAGGTCTGGTCTATAGTACTATCCATACCTACAGACCACAATACTACACACCTCTGTTCTACAGGCTACAGTATTTCCCATCTCTGCTCTACAATCATGTTCTATTTCTTACCTGAAGAGACATAGTTAGGTGGCAGGAAGCCTGATGGGCATATGGGAAATTCCAGGTGTTCCCTCTAGCATTTGCAGGTTCCAGTTGTCCCTCCATTGGAGATGCTGAAGATCTATTGCCAGTCACAATAAACTCCCAGAATAAGCTAGTACTTTCCAAATGCTTTAGACTTCAACTCCCACAATCCTCTGCTACTGGCCATGGGACGGGAACTAATGAGAATTGGTCCCAGACATGTAAAGTCTAAGCTATCTACCTGGAGAATCCTGGCTCAGCCAGGTGTCTGTAGTAACACTGTAATCTCTGCAGTGGGAAACAGCTGTCATCACTGGCTAAGAGGAATAAAATGTTGATGCTGCTACATAAACCAGCTCTCAATTCGTTTTGGATAGTGACAAATGTTAATCCAGTATTTCTTCCCCTTCCCCTTTTGAGCACATACCTGGTGTGAACAGGACAATTGCAGTGAAGAGTGCTACCTCTTCATCAGAGAGTTGCAGTCGGCAAAGGTTCTTCCCCAGCTCAAAGATGGAACTGATCAGGTCATCACAACCTAAGAAAACAAGGAGCCATTTAACTGGGATTTGAACATGAAGTTGGATAATTTCATATTTTCAAATCAATGCATGCACTAACAGCTAATAGTTTTACAGTACTGCAATTGTTTTAAAATCTTTCCATATAGTCCATTCAATACTATGTTAAAGGACTAAGCTAGTTGTATATTAAACTTTTTTCAAGTTTATTTATTTTAAACACTGGCTTTTCTCACAATGGAGCTAGAATTATAACCGACTGACAGACTGATTCTCCATGCAGCTAACTAATGCCTGTTTCAAAACTGTTGGGGGACTATTAATACACCTTCAGATAGAAAATTCCAAAACTTCTAAAGGTGTTGTTTTCCAATATCTGAGGGGTTGCCACAAAGAAGAGGGAGTCAAACTGTTCTTCTAAGCACCTGAAGGCAGGAAAAGAAGCAATGGATGGAAATTAATCAAGGAGAGAAGCAACCTAGAACTAAGGAGAAATTTCCTGACAGATAGAACAATTAATCAGTGGAACATCCTGCCTCCAGAAGTTGTGAATGCTCCAACACTGGAAGTTTTTAAGAAGAGACTGGACAACCATTTGTCCGAAATGGTATAAGGTTTCCTGCCTGAGCAGGGGGTTGGACTAGAAGACCTCCAAGGTCCCCTCCAACTTTGTCTATTCTATTCTATTCTATTCTATTCTATTCTATTCTATTCTATTCTATTCTATTCTATGCAAAAGAGGGGAGTCTTTTCCCGTCCTGGATCTCCCAACATTCACCTTCATTAAACGCATCCAGTGGATTTTATTGTCTTGAGAAGGGGAGGAAAACCTCTCCCATTTATTTCCTCAATCCATACTTTTATTTCCTTCTCCACTTGCCTCCATGCATAATTTTATGGTCGTCCAATTTATCCGCCTGTTCTCTTCATTAAAAAAATCCCCAAATGTTGCAATATTTCTTCCAATTACTTCAAAGAAATAGTTGCTTTGATTTTACATCCTTTCCAATTCAATTCTATTGGGTACATTATTTTATGTACTTAAACATGCATGCACACATATATGTGAGAAAGGGCATAAAGCAATCAGAAAGTTATAAAGGTGCTCATTCATAGTGTGTGTGTGTGTTTGTGTGTGTGTATCCTGGTTGTTGAATAAAACCATAAACATCAAAAAGTGAAGGTTAATACAAAATGCTAAACCAGGGGTCTTCAAACTTGGCCCTTTTATGACGTGGACATCAACTCCCAGAATTCCTCCATCAGCGTGCCTGGCTGAGGAATTCTGGGAGTTGAAGTCCACAAGTCATAAAAGAGCCAAGTTTGAAGACCCCTGTGCTAAACCATGCAAAAACTAGCTGGTTAACCTAGCCAAGCTTAACATGTTCTGCAAATGCAACCACTGGGTCTTTAATCTGGGTGTCTGCAGGGAGGGGCGGTCAAAAACATCAATATGGTAGCCACAACTGTACAATCAAGGCTGTACTCTTGTTTATGTGCATCACACACACATAAAAAACAGATGGGTTTTGCACAGCTGCCATATTGACTGTTTTCATGCCTCCTGTGGACATCCTGTGGTGTGTGAGCACAGCCAATATATTATATATAGTGTAATTACCCTGCAGATTTGTATAAACATAATAATTCATAATTATATATTATGAATTTCTCTTTCCCCCCCCCTCAAATTTCCACCCTTCTTAATGGCAAACCTAATTCCTCTCATTTTAGCCAGAAAGAGGTTAGGATCGCAAAACATGATCACACCAAGATGGCCACCAACCAACTCAGAATGTCTCATTTGCATCTTTAGAAGGGCAACATTCCTCTGCTTTCTTACCGAGTGACTTAAACATCAGCATCCCACCATATTTTCCTGCAAAAAGTACGGTGTTGTTCAATGGGTTGAAGGCCCGCGTCATTCGGATGAGGAGAATCTCTAGACAACCTGATGAAGGCCAAGGGTAGCAAAAAAAGAAGGAAGAACGGAAGGAAGGGAGGAGGGAGGAAAGGAGGAAGGAAGGATATTTCCATAGTTGCAAGAAGAACAATAAGGAAAAAGGAAGGTTGGGGGAAGTAGAGGAAAGGAAATCCACCCACATGTACAATTCCATGTTATTAATTGGTAATAATGGTACATGTAATTAAAAATGTGGAAAGGTGAAAAATGGAAGCCGGAAGAAAGGAGTGGATGGAGCAGAAGAAGATAAAGCCAAAAAAATGGGAGAAAAGGAGAAGGAGGTGGTTAGAGGTATCTTGGACCATTAGCTACTTCAAGCGATGAAACTACCGGCAGTAAGCAGCATGGGGCCAAGGTGTCTCCACCCCCCATTTCTGCCCCCTTTCCTTGATAATTTGAACCCCCGGCCTACCCAGTAATGAGATGCTTCCAAGGTTTTATCAAAAACATCTATCAAGATGGCATTGATTTGTCCAATCTCATGAGTCCTTGGAGAAGGAACAGAACAGAAGCTTCCTTCTACAAGTGATCTGATCTACTTCTCCTCCTCCCCAAAGAGTAGGGTTTCACTCAATGGGCATGACCCCATCTTGACTTTTTTGATGCCGCACAAAATGACCATTTACACTCCACCCCCAGTTTCTTTCATTTCTTGAACAACATCCAAATCAGGGTTTCCAACCTTGGCAACTTTAAGACGTGTGAACTTCCAACTCCCAGAATTCCCCAGCCAGCATGTTGCCAAAGTTGGGAAGTCCACACATCTTAAAGTTGCCAAGGTGGGAAAACCCTGATCTAAACAAACCTTAACCTCAACTCTCTTACCTGCTTTGAGAAGAATGATTTGGTCATTCTGGCATAGCTCCATGAAGCCATCAATGCGCTTGGCAAACTCCACGATGTACTGGATGGCATTGGAAATCTGGACGGCACACTCTTGCCACATTACCTCGCAGTTCTGCAGGGCAGCAGATGGAGAAATGTCCATTAACATGAACAGTATTGAATGCCTGATGATACGTAAGTGATTATAGGCACATGGTCCTCATTCATATTCCTTCTGGGCCCCAAAGCTGAGATAAACCTCCATCCTGGCACCAGCCTAGCATTAGGGCAGGAAATGGCCAGATCAGAGATCTAGTAGTGCTTTCCATTAGAAAATGGAACGTACTATCAGCATGTTTGGGAGGAGGGCATAAAAACATCAAAGAGGTGGCCATCACCACATGATTGAAGCCCTGACCTTTACCTATGCATGTGATGCACAGAAAAGGGGCAGGACGTTCATTGCACAGCTGACTTTTTTGGCCACTCAGAAATGCCTTCAGAATAAGCCCTCCTCCATGGAAGCAACCTGATTTGCCAGAAGGAGGAGCCTGAGGGAGGTTGGTGATCTGCAGCCCTCCAAGAAGCTGGCTGAAGGACCCCCCCCCACACCTCCTTTCTGGCTATAGAACTCTATGGCTCTTTTGATGGCTGAGTAATGTTTTGCAACCTTGAGCATTCCCAGGAGTGTGGACTTTAAATGCCAGAATTCCACAGGCAACATGGCTACCGATGAGAATTCTGGGAGTTGAAGTCCACGTATCAGGAAGTCCTGAAGGGCAGGGAGCATTGGCATTAACACCTCCTTGGCTACTGAGACCTTTTTTTTTTTTTTTGGCAGTGGGAACGTTTACCTGTTGATAGACCTTCCCATTTGTAATTTAAAAAAATTATTAAATTGATAAGACAAAATATTTGTCCTAGTTTTGACTCTCTAGGTCTTTCCAATCTCTTCTGCTTGCGATAATATTGCTGTTACTGCTTCTCTAAAATACTGTATCATTCAGAAAAGCAATATCATGCTTTCCTTGAGTATGATAGAAAAGCATATTGTTTGGGGAGGGAGCAGGAAGAAGAACTCAGTCACATACTCTCTTGTATATCCCATACAGTTATTAAAATGGCAGCTCAATAGAAGCTCCATGTCTAGAAGCAGTATACCTTGCTATGGACAATCCACTAGGTATGCTTTCTCCAACCTGGTTTTGTGATACTTCTGATGTGAGTTCCACTAGCACAGGAGTGGGGAACTATGGCCTCTTTATGACCTGTGGACTTCAACTCCCAGAATTCCTGAGCTGGTTGTAAAAATACCATAGTTTAGGGGTAGGCAACCTTGGCGCTTTTATGACGCGTGGACTTCAACTCCCAGAATTCCTGAGTCAGCATGGCTCAGCTTGGAAACTCTCTCTTTCCCCTCAGCATGGCTGGCTCAGGAATTCTGGGAGTTGAAGTCCACGAGTCATAAAAGAGTCAAGGTTGCCTATCTCTGCCATAGTTGCTCACTCCTGCACTAGTAGCTCAGATTAAGAGGGATTCCTAACCTAAACTTGCAGGAGACACTTACCGTGTTCTGCATGGTCCTTATTTCCTCCTGAGAGTAGAGTGTCCAGGCAAACCGCTGTAGCTCATCGCTGGTGAACTGCAACGTCTCAAGGTGTGATTTTACCACATTCTGGGCTAGGCGCTCTGGCAATACAACAGGCAAAGATTCTTAAGCATTGACCTCTGTTGCCAAACTAGAAAATTATTTGGCAGAGCTGACTGTCTCACATGGGTCATAGATAAATCACAGTACCGTTAGACACTTGTTTGAGAAAAACCAGCCTCCTGGATCTTGCTTCTTTGCATTAGCGGATTCACTGATTCATATTGATTCATTCATTGTTTGGGGATTCTTTTATGAATGGATTTAACAAAGAATCTCAGCCAACCCAAAAGAATTATCTTAGAACTGAATATGAAATAAAAAAAATATAAATATAAAGCCAGTTTGGTCTAGGGCAGAGGTCTTCAAACTTGGCCCTTTTATGACTTGCGGACTTCAACTTCCAGAATTCCTCAGCCAGCGTGCCTGGCTGAGGAATTATGGGAGTTGAAGTCCACAAGTCATAACAGGGCCAGGTTTGAAGACCCCTGGTCTACTGGTTAAAACACAAGGCTAGAAAGCGGGAGACTATGAGTTCAAGACTCGCCTTAGCTATGAAAGCCAGCTGGATAACTTCTCTCAGCCCAACTCACCTCACGGGGTAGTTGTGGGGAAAACAGGAAAAGGAAGATGTCTTGGATATGTATGCCACCTTGAATTTTTTATAAAAATAATAAAGGCAGGATACAAATAAATAAACCCTGCAAACGTGCTCTTAGGTCTGATTTGCTGTACAAAAATTAGCATGCACCGTTTAGGAGTCAGAAAGTCAGAAAGCAACATTTTACTTGGTTTGAAATCCAACATCTATACAGCACAACCCATCTCAATATGTCATGTCATGTCATAAACTCAGGAGCACATGATATTTGGCACCTCTGCGTGCCAACTATCGAATATGGGGAAGGCAGAGAAGGAAGGGGTGGGGGATGGGGGCAAGAACGATCCCACTAATCACTGTATGATAATTGATTATAGTTACATGACTGAATAATTGAGTACAGTTAGATACTGAAATCAAAAGAGGAGCTGATGTTAAACACCAAAGCAAGATAAATGGATTAAGCAGAAGTCAAGGAGAACATAAGGTCAGTTATTAGCATTATCTATCCCAATTAGCTCTAGCTCCAGCATGTTTCACAAATGTCTTTCCCATCAGTTGTAGCTGGTGGAAGATAGTGGGGATTATATTCAAGATCTCTGCTCCCCAGGCCTTTGTTCTACCCCTTAAATCAGGCATCGAGCATCTTTGGGGGATGGTACATTGGCCTTCCCAGATTCAGAGGAGGTGAGGCTTGATCCAGAAGATCTGATAGGTGATCAACTTTAGCAGTTAGGAGAGAGGTGACTGGCAAGATGCTAAAACAGTGTTTCTCAAGCTTGGCAACTTGAAGATGTGTGGACTTCAACTCCCAGAATTCCACAGCCAGCATGGTTGGCTAGGGAATTCTGGGAATTGAAGTCCACACATCTTCAAATTGCCAAGATTTCTCCAACTGTGTTCTGAAAGATCACCCAGCTGGAGGGCACATTGGAAACTCTGAAGAGCTTAGCAAAGATACCAACTTTAAAAGGATTTAGAGCTGACTTTAGGAAAGCCATTAAGGAGGGATTTGGAGAAGAGATCACACAGTCCAGAGATAGAAACGAATGTGAGAAAGAAAGTTAAAAATAACTCTGCTTGATTGCTTTTGGTATAAGATGGGACAGAGATGAACTTAGATACAACAATGAAGTTGCATTCTGGAATCCCAGCTTATCTGTTTCTTCACTTGGCCTATCTCCAAGGCCTGATGCCACGCTGCACCTGTGACCAGCCTTCCTTCCTTCCTTCCTTCCTTCCTTCCTTGACTTGTATGCTGCCCATCTCATCTAGATGTTAGATATTACAACACCCACTGGCAGTTGTTATCTTCACTGTAAGAACCACCTGCACCAACCTCGACTCTGTGTTCCTGCATTTGTTATTCCTGTTTGCATCCTGAGCCTCAGCCATTTCATCCTGGACCAGCTGATCAATCTTCTGGACAACTTGAACCTCTGAACTATTGGGGACTATAATTACCCATGCTCTGTTTTGGGGTTTAGACATCATCACTCTTTCAGACAAGACCACAATCTCCTTGTAAATGTTGCAGGAATGTGCGTGCAGTTGCACCCACCAACTCTCTCCCTGTTGGGTGTACGGATAGTCCTTGCTTAACGCCCGGCTGCTTAGAGACGGTTTGAAGTTACAATGGACTTCACCAGAGCTACCTATGACCAGAGTTGCAATGGCCCTGCCCCTCCCCCAGTCCTGCGATTGCATTTCAGGCCCTTGGCAACTCGCTCACCTTTGTGGCCAGTTGCAGTGTTGCAGTCGTGTGACTATAATTTTTGGCAGTTTTTGCTGATTTTCAGTATTTTCTGCCAGTTTCTGGCACAAAGCACCCATTGAGTACAATGGGTTTGTTTAACAACCACAGTGTTCTCTTAACAACCACCAGATTTGTTTGCTTATGAGAGTGTTTGCTTAACAATTGCCAGAAAAGGATCATAAAATCAGGCGGGTCATGTGGTGACTTGCTTAACAACCACCATGACCTATGACTATAATTCCAGGTTCACTTATGGTCAATTATGGTTAGACATTAAGGGCTGTCTGTAATTGGTTGCTACGCTCGAGTAAACGGCTTGCAACCAGTTCAATGTATATGCAATCGACCTAAAACCAGAGAGTTCAGGGATTATATTTTTAATTCTTGGGTGATCTGGCCATAGTGAACAGAAGTAAGGTGGTTAACTTAGGAAATATTCTGTGATTGTTTTGTTTTTAAACGGTTTGCTCTACTTGGTAGCATAAACAATGGTTTTTAGATATAGTTGGTCTTCGACTAACAATAGTTCATTTAATGATCATTTGAAGTTACAATGGCACTGAAAAAAGTGACTAATGGCCATTTTTCTCACTTTTGACCACTGCAACATCCCCATGGTCACGTGATCAAAATTCCAACCCTTGGCAACTGACTCATCTTTATGACGGTTGCAGTGTCCTGGGTCATGTGATTGCCTTTTGCAACTTCTGAGAAGCAAAGTCAATGGGGAAGCCAGATTCACTTAACAACCACATTACTAATTTAAAGTAATTCACTTAACAACTATGGCAAGAAAGGTCATACCATGGGGCAAAACTCAATAAATGTCTCACTTAGCAACAGAAATTTGGAGCTCAATTGTGGTTGTAACTTGAGGACAACGTGTATTTTCCACCTCAAAATCCAAGGAAATTGGACCACTGATTTTAGCAAATATAGTCAGAAAGAGCTCTGGAGTTTGCAAAAAAAAAAAAAAAAAAAAAAAGGTTTGGGATTGTTTCCAGCTCTTGTGCTACAAAAAGCCCAACTCTTTTTAAATGACTAAAGACTCAAAGGAACAATCAGGACTAGAAGCATGCATGAACACAGAGGGGACAATACAGCACGAATAAAGCTGGCAGCCACCACAATGGCTAGCAGTGGCCTCCTCTGTGCTGAAAGAGATTTGGCTGCCACAAGCAGACAGAGTATTATACTAACCCATTTCCATCACCGAAACGTCTGAAGTCAGCGCGTTGCTTTCAAGGGGGCCGTGAGGAAAGAGGCTGGGCTCCAGCATGAGCTCGTAGATGGACTCCTGTTTAATGAACTTCGTGTCGCTGACGTCAGTGCTGGACTGGTCGGGCGATGGCTGCGCTGAGGTCAGGAGATCCAGGTTGTAGTAGCTGCTGTTCCCTTCGGGGCTCAGCGGAAAATCAAAGAGGAAGCTGTCCGACAGCATGGAGATGTCATCAAGGTCAGAGAGTCCGCTGCTCACGCTGGTGGTGTAGACCCTCGACAAGGTCTCTGGGTTGTCCTTGGTTCCCACGCTTTGTTCTTGGCTCTGCTGATGTTTCTGGACCTCGGCATACAGGCTGTCCCGCTGCTTCTTGGACATGCGGCCAAACTTTACTGCTGCAAGACGATTGGGGCAAAACACAGAAAGCAAAGCCGAGCGTGAGGTTGACCACTCTTGAGCTCTCCTATTTAAGAGCCAGAAGAGTGATGGAGAACCTATGACACGCGTGTCAACGCTGACCCACCACAACGGTTTGGGTGACACATTAGCACTTGCTTAACGACAACTGCAAAAAAGGTCGGTCCTGTGGGTGACCTGCTTTACGACCATCAGGACTTAACGACCATAATGAGTAGGCTCCATTAGGTTGGAAGCCAAGAACCATAGGTAGTCCTTGATTTACAACAGTTCATTTAGTGACTGTTCAAAGTTACAACAGCCCCCCCAAAACTGACCATTTTTCACACTTATGACCATTACAGTATCCCTGCGGTCACGTGATCAAAAATTCAGACACTTGGCAACTGACTCATATTTATGACGGCCGCAGTGTCCTGGGGTCATATGATCCCCTTTTGCGACCTTCTGACAAGCAGACTTAAAGGAGAAGCCAGATTCACTTAACAACCGTGTTACTTTCTTAAAAATTGCAGTGATTTACTTAGCAACTGTGGTAAGAAAGCTCGTAAAATGGGGCAAAACTCATTTAACAACTGTACAATTTTGGGCTCAGTTTTGGCCATATGTCGAGCACTACCTATACCTGCACATGATGAATCTTGCAGCTGCAATATTTCCTTTTGGACAGGGGTAGCACAGCAGTACAATCGAAATTCCTTCTGGATCTCTTTCTGATTAACAGAGTTGGAAGGGACACTGGAGGTCTTCTAGTATGCTGCCTTTCTTTGACCTCCAAGCCCCCCCCATATTGTGCATTTTATAGCCATATCAATTTCTAACACCAGGCAGTGGAGTTTGACTAAACGAGGGGTAGGCAACCTGGGCTCTTTTATGACTCGTGGACTTCAACTCCCAGAATTCCTGAGCCAGCCATGCTGAGGGGAAAGGGAGAGGTTTTCAAGCTGAACCATGCTGGCTCAGGAATTCTGGGATTTGAAGTCCATGAGTCATAAAAGAGCCCAGGTTGCCTACCCCTGGACTAAATGGAGGCCACGTTTTTGGATGGCTGTTGAACAGCTCGGAGGTAATCTAAACACCCTGTTGCATCTAGGTTAGAATGACAGTGTGGTTAACGATGGAGTTATTCCTGAGCTAGCCTAGAGAAAAGAAGGACTCGGGGTGACATGATAGCAGTCTTCCTATATTTGAGAGTCTGCTTCAAAGAAGACGGGGTCTGTTTATATTCCAGAGCCTGAAGGCAAGACAAGAAACTAATGGATGGAAACTCATCAAGGAGAGAAGCAACCTGGAATTAAAGAGAAACATCCTAAGAGTGAGGACAGTTAATCAGGGCTATGGCTTGACTATAGAAGTTGTGGGTGCTTCATCACTGGAGCTTTTAAGAGCAGGCTGGACAGCCATTTGTGCAGAATAGCAGAGGGTCTCCTGCTTGAGCAGGGGCTTGGACTAGAAGACCCCCAAGGTCCCTTCTAACCCTATTAATCTATGTATTAGTCCAACCCTTTGCTCAATCAGGAAATCCTATACCAGGAGTAGGCAACCTTGACTCTTTTAGGATTCATGGACTTCAGCTCCCAGAATTCCTGAGTCAGCTATGCTGACTCAGGAATTCTGGGAGTTGAAGTCCATGAGTCATAAGAGACTCAAGGTTGCCTACCCCTGTCCTATACCATTTCAGACCACAATGACCAACTCAACTCCTAGATTAGCTTACACGCTTCCTGGAGGAACTTGTGGCTTCCTGCATCCATGTTTGGAACCCTATTTGCTGCCTCCAGGATTCTGCCTCTCCTTTTATAACCCTGAACCATTCTGATGTCGTTCCCCCACTGGTTCACCAGTTTCACCCATCAGGCTAAATCCAGCACTCACCATCCCGGGACATGCCCAGCGCCAGGCACTTCTGCAGTCGGCAGTGCTGACACCGATTTCGGTTGGTCCTGTCGATCAGGCAGTTCCTCTGCCGTGAGCAAGAGTAAGTGGCGTTATTCTGTTGGCTTCTGCGGAAAAAACCCTGCAGAAAAAAGGAGGAACATCAGAACAACATTCTGTAACCAGCCGTTACAGAAGACGGCTGGTCAGCAACTACGGCTGCGCGACACCAACCGCCCATTTCAAAGAAGCTTCAAATGCACAGCACCTCTGTGCATTGTCTCATGAATTAAAGAAAGAACAGAGACTTGAGCAATTCAGAACAATTAATAGTGGAACAACCAGCCTCCAGAAGCGGTGAATGCTCCAACACTGGAAGTTTTTAAGGAGAGACTGGACAGCCATTTGTCTGAAATGGTATAGGCCAGTGGTTCTCAACCTGTGGGTCAGGACCCCATTTGGGTCGAACGACCATTTCACGGGGGTCGCCAAACAATGCAGTCCGCCATTTTTTCCCCCTTTTCCTTAGCTGTGCTACTCCCTTTTATTCTATTGGCTTTTGAAAGCCAATAGAATAGATTCTCTTGAATAGAGTCTAATTCTATTGGTTTTCAAAAGCCAATAGGAATTGTCCAGGTTGCCTCTGCCCTGCTGAGCCCGCCAAAAGTCCCATTCTGTAAACGGTGCTGCACCAGTTGAGTAGTCCTCGACTTACGACCGGTTGAGTAGTCCTCGACTTACGACCGGTTGGGGGTCGCGGCATTATAAAGGTTGAGAACCACTGGTATAGGGCTTCCTGCCTGAACAGGGGGTTAGACTAGAAAAGGGGTCCCCAATCCCCGGTTCGTGGACCAGTACTGGGCTGTGGCATGCCAGCAACCGGTCCGCACAAAAAAGCAAAGCCCCATCAGTGGGATGCTGGCAGCACACAAAGCCACGCACCCTCCAGTCCATGGAAAAACCTCTTTCCACGCAACCGATCCCTGGTGCCCAAAAGGTTGGACTAGAAGACCTCCAAGGTCCCTTCCAACTCTGTTACTCTGTTTCTCAGAGCTGGACGGTGAATGGAAGGATCCAGGATCAAGTTTTCCATGCATAGGCAGAGCCTATGGTAACTCGAGCCAGATCTTCTCATCCTTTCCTACTCTGCAGGGCGAGTGTTGTGCAGATTAAGGAGTCTGAATACAGTATTCAACTAGGGGAGATAATATATGCACATGTGTTTGTCTCCTTTTCCTTAATGCATTTCTTTTTCAATGTCTTCTTTTTTTTCTTTTTTTTGGAGTTTGTATTTTAACTTTTCAAATAAAAAAATAAAAAGTTAAAAAAAGAGATTAGAAGGAGTCTGATAGCACCTTTTCCAACTACATTCTGACAGTGAGAACAATTAATTGGGTATGTCTAGTTGGGTATGGAATTGGATATGTCTAGTTTAAGGAAGAGAAGGACGAGGGGTGTCATGATAGCAGCATTCCAATATCTCAGGGGCTGCTCCAAAGAAGAGGGAGTCCAGCTATTCTCCAAAGCGCCTGAAGGGAGGACAAGAAGCAACGGATGGAAACTAATCAAGGAGAGAAGCAACCTAGAACTAAGGAGAAACTTCCTGACAGTGAGAACAATTAACCAGTGGAATAACCTGCCTCCAGAAGCAGTGAATGCTTCAACACTGGAAGTTTTTAAGAAGAGACTGGACAGCCATTTGTCTGAAATGGTATAGGCTTTCCTGCCTGAGCAGGGGGTTGGACTCAATGACCTCCAAGGTCCCTTCCAACCTCATTATTATTATTATTATTATTATCTTTTATTCATTAAACATGAACCTCAGTCAACTGAACATTCAGATTGGCTGGTGCTGATGTTTGTTATGGGCTGCTACCAGCATCCTAGGTGTCAACCAGGTACCTCCTTAAAATGTAAGATGTTCCGAGTAATGCAGTTTTTTGTAACTGGAGTTATTGCAGGAAGCTGCAGTTTCTTGATGTATTTTGCAAAGTTTTTGGACATAGTTCCCAGTGCCCCGATGACAATGGGTACCACTGTTACATGTTTCATCCATAATCGGGCAGTTTTGATGGCCAGGTCACAATATTTCCTAATTTTTTCCAGTTCTTTTTCTTTGACTCTGGCATCTCCTGGTACAGCGATATCAATCAACTGTACGCTTCGGTTCTCTACAACTGTGATATACAGCGTATTGTGTTCCAAATGGCGATCTGTCTGTATTCAAATTATTATTATTATTATTATTATTATTATTATTATTATTATTATTATTATTATTATTATTATTATCTTGCCTCTCAGAATTGTAGGTGCTCCATCACTGGGGGTTTTCGAAAATAGACCAGACAACCATTTGACTGGGATGGTATAAGGCTCCTGCCTGGGGCAGGGGGTGGACTAGAAGACCTCCAAGGTCCCTTCCAGTCCCATGTTTCTACTGTAACACATTTTAGTAAAACGCATCAGCTTTTGTGAGCTGCAGCTTGTTTCGTTAGATGCACAGAATGACTGAACTGATGGAGGATTTAAACAAGGGGTGCAGGAGTGAAGGAAAAGGGAAAAAAATAAGTGAATGAAAAGGAAAACCATCACAGTTTGGTTATGTAGAGGGAGATTCTTTTAGTCAGCAAAAGTGCTACCAGCCTTTATTTTATTTTCTTTGCACAGACCAATATTATTGCTTGCCTAGGAATGTATTTATTTGATTGATGCCATATTCTATTTTCCTATAAAATATGTCTAGGGTAAACTAGCCAATTATCCCCAAAACATATGAGTCATTTTACAAGGGAGATGGGTAGCATAAAAATGGAATAAGTGAATTAATAAGCAAAATAAAATATGAATGAAACATAAGAAAAAAAATTAAAAGGCACTTGAATATTGCAGCTAATTCATGCACAGAGTAGACGAAGAAAACAACAACTCATCTATAGAGGCTAAACTCCTATTTGAAAAAAAGACTTTACTTCTGCTGGTAGAAGATTATCTCTAAAAGGAGCTTAGACAAGCTTCTCTTAATAAGGGTTTCCCAAATCTTTAGAACAGCTGAAGTGCACACTAATTGCACTCAGAACAGTAGTACAACCTCTTCTAGAAAATCTTAACACCAGGGCAGAGAAATTGGCCTTGAACCAGGGAATGGTAGCCTTCCTGGCCCTGGGTGCCCCCTTTCTCAATCTATACACAATCTTACACAATTTCTGAATTTCACCAGACTCTTTTCAAGATGTCATGTGAGAAATCAAAGTCTCCTAGAATCGCTTGTGAATTTTTCAATCTAAGATTCCCAAAGGTTCCAAAACTCTTGCATAAAATTCATTATGATTTACCAATCTCTGAGATTATAACAACTTTTGCAAGTCGTGGATTATTTGGCTTATAATGGGAATTGTCGTACTTGCAGGTGCTATGTTGTTAACGACTGACTTAAGTGGTTTAAGGCTTAAATACTCAAAACAGACACCGTTTGTTTGTGCTCTTTAACCAAGGATCATATGCTCCTATTATTAGAACTAGCCAAAAACAGTGTTCTGTTTCATTACAGTGTCTGAATAATCTTCAAAGACAGAGCCATATTTATGGATTACTTTCCAAGATTTAAACTTTCCAGTTTTCTTGCCACAACTAAATTCACTGTAAGATTTCTATTTCTAATAGTCACAGCTTTTAGAAAAACTTCTCTTTTTATATAAAAAAGGTTTTATCCAGCAAACATGAGTTTTACCTGTTTTTTATAAACAGAATTAAATAAAAATCCATTTAAATTAAAATACAAAATTGTTAGATCTCAGGTGACATTTTATTCTTAATAGGTCTACAAAATGTAAACATCTGGACAATTTGGGGCGTGGAATATGTCACAAAAATGGATACCATGCTGCAGATGGTGTTTTGGAGATTGCATGACCTTTAAATGCTTTGTAATTATTAATGAAGTCCTACTAAAAAAGATTTTAGATAATGGCAAATCTGTTTCTATTATAATATTTGCAATATATCATTCTTTGCCAATCTGGTGTTCCAGGTGTACTAGGTTTCAATTGCCATCATCCTCATATTGATAGCATTTATTAGATTTTTATCCTGATTTTATTAATTTATAAATAACTCAAGGAGCAAACATAGCTAATATTCCTTCGTCTTCCTATTTTCCTTACTACATCAGCCCTGCAAGGTGGGTTGGGCTTAGAGAGAGAGTGACTGGCCCAAGGCCACTCAGCTGGCTTTCATGCCTAAACAGGACTGGTAGGAGTTACAATTGAAATACCTCTGTATGAATTTTCAACACAATTTTATATGTATTTGGCAGAGGTAGGTCAAACGATGCTCAACAGAACCTGCACAAGGAAAGTGTTTCTAGGACTTCAATCAAGGACACATTATTGGATTGATTTAAAGGAAGGGTAAAGATTCCCAAGATCACCACAGATGGGGACTCAAGCGAAGAAATTAAAAGACGCTTGCTCCTGGGAGGAAAGCTATGGCAAATCTACTAAAAAGCAGAGACATCACCCTGCCAACAAAAGTACGTATAGTCAAGGCCATGGTTTTCCCAGTTGCAATGTATGGCTGTGAAAGTTGGACCATAAGAAAGGCTGAGCGCCAAAGAATTGAGGCCTTTGAACTATGGTGCTGGAGAAGACTCCTGTGAGTCCCCTGGACTGCAAGGCGATCAAACCGGTCAGTCCTAGAGGAGATCAGCCCTGACTGCTCTTTAGAAGGCCAGATCCTGAAGTTGAAACTCAAGTACTTTGGCCACCTAATGAGAAGGAAGGACTCACTGGAGAAGATCCTGATGCTGGGAAAGATTCAGGGCAATAGAAGAAAGGGACGACAGCGAATGAGGTGGTTGGATGGAGTCACTGAAGCAGGAGGTTTGAACTTAAATGGACTCCAGAAGATGGTAGAGGACAGGAAGGCCTGGAGGAACGTTGTCCATGGGGTCGCGATGGGTCGGACATGAATTCGCAACAAACAACAAAGATTCCCTTGAGTCAAACTGATTCCTGGTAATTAAACAGACATAGCCTTGGCTTTTTTTATATATATGGAAGAAGTTTGCCATTTCTTCTTGCCTCCAGAAGTTGTGGGTGTTCCGCCACTGGAAGTTTTAAAGAAGAGATTGGATAACCATTTGTCTGAAATGGTATAGGGCAGGGCTCCCCAACCCCGATCCGTGGACCAGTACTGGGCCGTGGCATGCCAGCAACTGGTCCACCCAAACAAGCAAAGCCCCATCCACGAGATGCAGGCAGCACACAAAACCACAACCCTCTGGGCCGTGGAAAAACTTCTTTCCACGTAACTGGTCCCTGGTGCCCAAAAGGTTGAGGACCTCTGGTATAGGGCTTCCTGCTTGATCATGGGGTTGGACTAGATGACCTGCAAGGTCCCTTCCAACTCTGCTATTCTGTTGTTCTGTTCCATTCTGTTCCATTCTTCTGAAATCTATATACTGCTGGAAACGCTCATTTCTGTAACCTTTAATTGGGCAAAACGATGCATTCTAGGGCAAAACCTTTTCTACCAAGGTGCCTCAAATGAGCTAATTTACAGAAGGCATCCAAAATCCAAGAATTGAAATTGACCAGTTTTGTAAAACTTTTTATGACATAAAAACAACCACAAAGCATTTTATGACACAATGCAAAACATAGCAAAACATTTTCTGTGACCAACTCCTGTGCCATACAGTTCAACACGAGCTACTTTCAAGGCAGCTACACCTCTGGATATCTCCTTGAATTTTTAAGAATTGTTCAAGTATGTATGTATGTATAATAAATAAATAAGTAGGTAGGTATGTAGATATTTATGTATATATACGTAAATATCTACATACCTACCTACCTATTTATTTATTTATTTATTTGATATGCTGCCCATCTGGCTATCATGGAACAAAGCCCTGCCATTGTTGAATGCACTGAAGAATCTGGTAAGGAAATATCTCTGAAAAGATGAACTAAAGCAGGGGTCTTCAAACTTGGCCCTTGTGGACTTCAACTCCCAGAATTCGTGCCTGGCTGAGGAATTCTGGGAGTTGAAGTCCACAAGTCATAAAAGGGCCAGGTTTGAAGACCCCTGAACTAAAGGGTCATAAGTTATGTAGCATTTTTTACATATCTCAAGCAATAACGCTGAGATTTCCTGCTGGTCTCCATTTGAATAGAAACCAGGTCCAATCGGTATAATTTTCTGAGATCGTTAAAGGGTGGTTAAGAACAGACATTTAACTATGGGCTATATATATATATATATATATATATATATATATATATATATATATATATATATATATATATATATATATATATATATATATACACACACTGATATGGAAGTTTCACAAAAGTTAGTCGATTTGATTTCTCACTCGTCAAGCACAGTACTGTTCTGATCAGGTTGCAAAGTTGATAAGCTGTTCCTTCCTTGACCCAAAGCCCGCTCAGGCTTCCAACTTACTTTGCACCCTTCACAGGTGATGACTCCATAGTGAATCCCTGAAGACTTGTCCCCACATATCTTACAAGGGATAACTTCAATTTGTGCTGTGGGGAGAAGAATGAAAAGCTGTATTAATCAATGTTTTAAATTTAAAACACATTAAAAAAATAAAAAAACCTTGGAAATGTAATCATAAGTCAGGCACGTATTATCATATTTGGTGGACATGTGATAAAGTAAAGAATTATTGGAAAAAGATACATACTTGGCTAGAAAAGATGTTGGGAGAACATGTGGATTTTAAACCTGAACTTTTTTTATTAGGTATAATGCCAGAAAAGACTAAGAAACAAAGCCTATATTTGATTTTGCATGTCACAACAGTGGCAAGAAGTATATTCGCGCAATATTGGAAAAATGAAGGAATACCATCAGATGAAGAAATAATTTAAAAAATACTAGAATGCGCAGAGATGAACAGATTGACTATGAGACTGAAAGAAAAAGAAGAAACAGAATATTATCAAACTTGGGACTTATTTATCGATGTCTAGAGGAAAGAATAAAGGATTGGGAATTAAATATGTATTAGCAAATTTAAACTCAGACAGCATGCTGATTGATAAATTATTATTGTATGCATGGAAAAAAATTAATAAAATGTTATAAAAAAATTTAAAAAAACCTTCTGCACATGTGTTGAACATACAGAACAACTTACAACCATTTGTTTAGCGACCGTTTGAAGTTACAACAGCATTGAAAAAGGTGACTTATTTACTTAACAACTATGTTAAAAAAAAAAGGTTACAAAAATCAAGCACGACTCATTTAACAACTGCCTTGCTTAACAATGAAAATTCTGGTTCCAACTTAAGATCATAAGTGCAGGACTATCTGTATATGTGGGTAAAGCAGCTTGTGTGAATGGTTACATACAAAAATGATTGATTTGCCAATATATACTGTAGCTGAGAGGACTGTTCCCCAAATACACACATTCTAAGAAAGGATTTTTGGGATGTATATCACTGGGTATGATTTTGTACATGCATATGCGTGGGAGACAGAAAGAGAGAGGGAGGAAGAAAGCAGATGAACAAGAGAAATAACGGCAGGATCTAAAAGGAAATAATCACCAGAGGTTATAGTTGTATTTTTTTTTGAAGTAGGTAAGTTATCCCTTACAAGGAAAGCAACTGTTACCACAGTATGCTCAAAAATTTGCAATTGTTCTTATTTACATCACATCTTAATTACATGTAGTATCATTGGAATCCACTTCCAATTAAAGAGAACGTAATTCCATCTAAGGCCAAGAGAGGGCAATCAGGTACTTTGAACAAACTATGTTAGGGTGGCCTACAAGTATGGTAAAGACAGGGAAGAGAAGCAAACAATCTTAGTCACTGAAATATCCCAATCTCCCTCCTTAGCCAATCTGTGTCTCTGAGCCTTCCAAAATAGAAGAATAAAACAATCACAATGGGGGATAACAGCAGATCCCTCTCCAGCCCCCAACAGCACAAGTTCCCTGTGGAGGTGGCTGATGCCTGATGCATTTTTTTCTGGCCAGATTATAATATGGACATTACAAAAGTGGGACTTTGCACCAATTTCCAAAATCAGCCTACAAGTTCTCATAATAGTCCAAATGATGAGATATTTTAAAAAGGAGAAACTGAGCAAAGTCAAGGTGAAGCCCTCATGATTTCAATCCGGATAGAACATGTTGCAAACACTTCATAGCATTTGCTAAATCTCCCTATTCGTTTTTTTGTTTGTTAAGAATTAATGTTTTATTTATTATTGAAAACGTTGAACAGAACAACATCAATAGCTACATAAAAGAGGAAAAAAAGAGAGAAAATGATATAGGGGATAACAAATCTTGGTGCCGGTTACAGGTATTTTACAGTTATCCTATTTAAAATTCATTAATTAAAGGTAAAGAACTAAGTTTATTGCATCATCTTAAGAAATAATAAGAAATTTCTGAACGTGGTATTAATATTGATGTCACCACTGCTTTTCATTTTTCAAGATTCTATTTCATTGAAAAAAAGATAAATAGAAAAAAAGAAAAGGAAAGGAAAAAGGAAAAAAGAAAAAGAAAGGAAAGGAAAAAACACCTTGTTTATTTTTCTTTTTTATCTTCCTGTGGTTACCTATTGCTTTTAAATTACCAATAACCTGAGAATAAATGTAAGTATGAGTGCACATCCACCCACCCAGATATATATTCAGTGGATACATATGTATATACACATATATGTTCATATACATACATACATATACACATATGAATATAAATATATACTCACACACACTTCATACACATTTGTATTCATATACACAAACATATATGAAGATAGATAGTTGATAGATAGATAGATAGATAGATAGATAGATAGATAGATATAGAAACAAATAGAGATAGATGATAGATAGAGATGATAGAGATTGAGGATAGATGGATAGATAGATGATAGAGAGATAGATAAATAGATGATAGATAGATGATAGAGAGAGAGATAGTGATAGAGATATAGTGAGAGAGGATAGATAGATAGATAGATAGATAGATAGATAGATAGACAGACAGATAGATAGATAGGCAGGCAGGCAGCCAGGCAGGCAGGCAGGCAGACAGACAATCAGAAATATATAAATGCCTTATCAGTATAAGCCCCACTGACTACAATAGCATTTGGTGAGAAATGAGTTTCCAAGTTAATTCAGTGATTTTCAGGATTCAGTGATGCATAGAGACTTAGATGGCTTCCACAGTAGAAGAGAACGCTATTCCACTATTCTATTGGTTAGGATTAGCGGGATAATGAGAGATCCCTTCTGGTGTCAGAAGCAGCCTCATGCTGCAATGGAATGACAGTGTGTCCTGCACACACAAATGCTGCTTCACAACCTGTACACGGCAATATTGGCTGAACACAAGGCCCACGTGAGTCACAGCACTGGGAGAAAAAGGAAAACCATGAGCTTTAAAAAGTTTGCAGGAGAATGTTGTGTCAATCTATGGTAACCAAAAATTAAAAGTCTGGTAGCAGACTTTTTCAACAAACAAATTATTAAAAGTTTTAATTAGAAATTAGTAAAACAAATTTTATTCAAGGTCCTACCAGACTTCTTCTGACTAAAAAGTTGGTTCATTTGGGTTTTTTTTATACCCCACAGAACTGCAGCTGAGAGTTTAAAATTCTTACTCTGTTTTTAAAGTCCATTTAATTTCTGGGGACACCTAAGTCTATGAAGAAACATTTACAAATTAATTTTGTTAGAAGGCCCAGCCCGTCATCAATGTTAGAGCCAGATCTTATCTGACAATTCCATGTTATTATAAATTTCATAATCCCTTTTGCTATGGAGGAAAACTCCGGTTTGATTCTCCCCCCCCCGCTTGTATTATGCAGTATGCAACTTCCTTCTAGTAAATTTATTTAGTTTATTTATTTATTTTGTTAAATAGATTAGTAATCCAATCTGATTTCATTTAATCTGTTCTTGACTCAGATCCAACTAATACTTTCTTTTATTTTTAGAAGTAACCCAGTGGAACTTCCATGGTTAGAGGAACTTTACCTCTGAATAACAGATTACATGCAATAGAGGAAGGTTATTGTCAGCTAGAAACAGAATGCTAGACTAATTTTTTTAAAAAACTTAGAAGAGCCCTTTTTAATGTAACTACATTATTTTTTCTAATAATTCATTCACAAAGTCTTCAGTTTTTTGATCCATCCTTATTTTTTTGCTCAAAGCCATTTCAACGTTTATCCAGCTGTCATTTCAATTAATGTTCTTTTTTTACTCAAGGTTAATATTTGAGGTTTTTTCCCCTGTAAATTCTCCTGTGATTTCAATTATCAGCATAGCAGAATCCAACTTGAATCAGACAAAAATCTCTTGTTGAATCACTATTCCCAAAGTATTCAGATAACTGAACAAAACCCATAATCAGATCCCAGAAGGTATGCCACTGTGCCAGGTGACAACATTTTTAGCTTTTTAAACATACATAAAAAAGATGGAAAATCTTTACTATATAGATAGAACTAACAGGATTATTTCTTGCATTTCAGATGTACCTAGAACAGAGTTGCTCCTAAAAAAATGATGAGGATAAACACACAGTAGTAGCTAATAGTTATATCCACAGGAAGGATTGAGTGTGTGTGTTTGTGTAAGTCACTTCTGGGGAAAAAAATAAGACAACAATGCTCAAACAATGCTCATGGATGCGTGGAATCACAATTTGGAATTGCTCTTTCTATATATTTTTTTTCATTTTCTTTCTCTTGTCCCAAATGAAAAAAAGTGATGGCCATTTTTTTTTCTCAAAAAAGATCAGAAAAAAGGAGAGTTCACCCACCGAATGAAACATAAACCTGATCGCAGAATAAAGATGATTTTAAGCGCCAATGAATGTGTGCATTTATGAGATATATGTAATGAGGACTAGCAACCTCATTGCAATGAATCAAAATCAATTAGAACCAAAATCTAGCATTTGTTACTAGATCCAGATACTGCATGCACATATACACGCACACTGACTTTGTTTATACAACATTGAATGTGGTCAACTGAATCCGTTTTCTGCATGCATTTGACACAACATAAATTAATCAAACAGAATGCATTTTACCAAAACACTTATTTGCAAAAAAAAAAAAAAAAAAAAAAAAAATAGTGAAGGTTAACACTAGCCAAGCTTTAAACATTTGAGAAAAGCATCCCAGATTATTTTCTTGACCCTGTGTAAACATAGTTTCTGGGGCAGGACGAAATCATCCTTTAGATACCCACAAGACCATTACACACCAACAAAGAATTGCCCAACTGAGAGAACGACTTTAGAAATAGAAATGGTGCTTTCTTTTTTTTTCCTCAACGCATTGCAAAAGGCTGGCCTTGCACAAGGGGCATCGTTTTTGCTGGGCATGACTGTTTCGACAAGTGACTAAGTTCATTGCAAACAACCATACAGTGGTGTGGATTTGTTGTAGTAAAATCTGTGGGCAGAGCTGCCATTCCTATCTGGGGAGAAGGAGGGAATTTCAACTGCTCACCTGTGGTGGCTGAT